CTTGCGCTGCAGCGAACAAGCGGGGAAGCGCGATCCAGCAATTGTCATAGAGATCAGTGGTCAAAAGCTACCCCCATGTAGTCTATGATGTCCGCGTCTTTAATTAGCTTTGTTGTAATCTGTGTACTGGTCAGTTGGTCGTCGAGCTGTTGCGCAAGAAGCCATTCGAGGAAGGTCGCAAACCTCCGGTCCCATGATCCAATACTTGAAAACTGTTTATAATCTTCCATAACTCATAAGGAATGTTTTCAAAAAGTATTATTTTCATGTTCACAGTACTTACTGACCAAATTCGTCAAATTTGCGTCCTACAAATTGAAAGACAACGTTCTTCTCTCAAGGGCCTTCCTGAAAGCAAAATGCATAACAGTAAGCGAAGACTACTCAATTGGGACACATATCGCATGAAAAAAATTAATTGATTTCGCGAAAGAAAACGGCGGCACTTTTAAGCTTCGACATAACAGAATTCACATTAACAATAAATGCTATGCTTTTGATCTGACCACCGAAAATGTGTACGAGGTTGGTCCCTCTACTACGCCGGTTGTTACTGTCACACAGAATTCCCTGCCCGCTAATGACTCATCTCAGCCATCATCATCGCAACAACAAACCGCGAGGGGTAGAGTGTCTCTTTCACCTGTCTCTGATGTATCAGTACTTTTTACAAATATTAGAAGCCTCATTAAAAAACGAGATGGCTTGTGTTCTATTGTTGATTCAACAGCTGCCGATGTTGTTTTAACGGAAACTTGGCTCACTGGGAGGGTGCGTGATTGCAAACTTTTTTATGGACCTAAAAGGTACAATATTTACAGGAACGATCGGCAAGATAGGTGTGGTGGGGGCGTTTTAGTTGCCATTGCAAGTCATATTGATTCTTTTTGTTTAAACATAGCTAGCGATTTAGAAATAGTTTTTGTATGTCTTGGCACTAATCACATGATGTGGATCACGGGAGTTTGCTATAGGCCGCCCTCGTGCTCATCATCTTTCATTAAAGCTTTGCAGGACTCCATAAATCTGGTCGTCGTTCGCTTTCCCAGTTCGACAATTTTTCTGTTGGGAGATTTTAATTATCCTGATATTGTGTGGACAGGTAATAACCCACCAACAGGCACACCCTCATCTGCCTCATCTGAATGCAATGGTTTTGTTAGCCTCTGTTTAGATTTTTGTTTCACGCAATTAGTTACTCAACCAACCAGAGTGACCCCATTGACGGCGAACGTATTGGACCTTGTTCTCGCTACTCATCCTGAACTCGTTTCACATACCTCCCATCTTCCAGGGCTTAGTGATCATTCCATATTGCATTTCAATGTAAAAGCAGCAGCACCAAAACCATCATATAATGTAAAGCAAATTCGAGATTACGCCAAAGCTAACTTTGATAAAATTAATCTTGACCTTGCAACTTTCCTCGGTGAATATTTATCACTCTTCTCAAGTCGCTCAGTAGAAGAAAACTAGAACTTTTTCAAAACCGAAGTTAATAAACTAACAAATCAGTACATTCCCTTAAGGGGAGACACTGCCCAGAAAAAAAAATTTCTGCAAAAAAAGCTGATTTTGAAAAATGACATCTTTACATCCACCAACATCTAGAGAGTATTCCAAAAAAGTTTCATTAATTTTCACTGTATAGTTAATTTTTTATGAATTATTTTCTGTCCACCAAAGCTATAGAAAAGGTAGGGTTTGGAGCACTTTGAACACATTTTTCTCCGTTCCACTTTTTGGTATAAATTCCATTTTAGTCAATCTATCATTTGATAATGGCAAAACACAGAAAGCTCATTCTTCCCTTTTCCTGACTGAAATTTAATAAGGAGTGCGGCTATGGAACTTTTTTGTCACTTTACGGATGTCTTTTGTAAAAAATGTTGACATTTTGTCGAAGGCACAGAAGACCAAAAAGTTGACCAATTTTGCAGAAGAGAAAATTTATAGAAATGAATTACTTTTTAGAAAACATTTTCCATAGCCGCACCCTCTAGGCATTCTGCTACATATCTAGCAAATAAAAATCTTTAATATCGCAATAGTTTTCTGACGATAGATTAACTAAACAAGGTAGGCGTGTTTCTGATAGAAGCTACTCTTATTTCCTTCTCATTTGACCGACAGACCTGAAATTTTGTTATACACCCTCTAGCATGACCACCAGCCTACCCTGTAAATTTCATTAATTTTAAGACAAGGGTTCAAAAGTTGACACCCCTAGGGGGTGTGCCCCCTTAAGGAGAGTTATCGAAAACTCTAAGTCACCCTGGTTCACCAGAGCCTTAAAACACTTATCAAACAAAAAGAAGCGTCTATTTCGCGCCGCAAAATTATCCACGTGCAAGCACCGTTGGTTGCGTTATCGTACTGCTGCTGAAGTGTACAAAAAAGCAATTGAAAACGCCAAACTAGAATTCATGACTCATAGCCTACCCGCAATGTTGATCAACAATCCTAGACAATTCTGGAATACAATAAACAAAAAGACGCAGTCATCTATCACACTAAAAACCGCAAATGGTGATTGTATAGCCAGCGATGAGTGTTTAAATTTATTAAATAGTACTTTTGCAGATTCATTCTCTACTAATAACATGCACGATTTCCCTTCGCTAGAGAATGCCGATTACTTGCCCATGGATCCTCTTTTTCTTGATTACGTTGGTGTTGGTCGTATCATAGATAAACTCAAACTGTCATCTTCAGCAGGAGTGGACGGTATTAATTCCAAGTTTTTACAAAACACTAAACACTCCTCAATTATTTTAACAAAATTATTTGAACAATTTATACAAGACGCTGTTCTCCCATCAGACTGGAAGGTAGGGAAGGTGGTACTCATTCACAAGGCTGGAGATAAACATTCCCCTCTTAATTATCGTCCGATCTCAATAACCAGCATTCCTTGCAAACTCCTTGAACATATAATTTTTTCTCACCTCGTCAACTTCTTAGAATCTAACAACTTCTTCAACAATGCCCAACACGGTTTTCGGAAAACATTTTCATGTGAAACCCAACTATGTACTATCTTTCACGAATGACCTACATCGCATTCTGGACCGAGGATCCCAGGCGGACTGCATTTTCCTGAATTTCGCCAAAACATTTGACAAAGTTTCTCACACTATTCTGCTTCTAAAACTTTCCAAACTTAACATAGACAATAACATTCTCGCATGGATACAGTCTTTTTTAACTCAATGGTCTCAATTTGTCACTGTGAATAACAATAACTCCTCTTTTGTCAAAGTTGCGTCAGGGGTTCCGCAAGGGACAGTCTTAGGGCCGTTGCTATTCTTAATTTATATTAACGACCTACCCACTAGTGTCTCTTCGTCCGTGTCTCTGTTCGCTGACGACTGTGTACTTTACTGTGAGATTCTCAATCATAATGACATCTGTATACTCCAATCAAACATTAATGCTATTTACCGTTGGTCCGACTCGTGGTCTATGAAGCTTAACACTAACAAATGCAAGGTCATGCGTGTGTCTCGCCAGTCCCAGGACTCTCCTAACTATTTCCTTAATAATGCTCATCTAGAACCGGTATCTTCGTACAAATATTTAGGCGTACATACTATAGCTTCTAACCTTTTATGGAAAATACATATTCAGCATATTTCAGCTAACGCTAACCACATGTTAGGTTACATCAAGCGAAATTTTTCATTAGCCCCTGTCTCACTGAAATTAACTTTTTACAAAGTTTTAATTCGTCCCAAGTTAGAATACGCAGCTTCTGTCTGGGATCCCGGACTAGTCACTCTCGTATCTACATTGGAAGCCGTTCAAAACAGATCCGCTTGTTTCATCCTCACAAACTATCACCGCACCGCTAGCGTCGCCTCTATGAAAACAACTCTCTCATTACCACCTTTATCCCTACGTCGTAAAATTTCTCGTCTTTCCCTATTCCATAAAATGTATCACCATAATTCTTTCCTGCGCGACAAAATAATTGCTCGGCCTGTCTATGTTTCCTCCCGTCTTGATCATCAACATAAGAGTTGTGATAGAGTTGTTGATCATCAACAACTCTATCACAACCACGTTTTATTCATCTTTCGTTCCCCGTACATCCCAGGAGTGGAACCACCTTCCCCGGTCGATTGCCATTATCACGGATTCTGAGCTCTTTAAAAGTACAATAACTAATTACTTTATTACTGAGTGTGTCTAAATATGTATTATGTTATTTGCATTAACCTTCTTGCTGCTCTCCCCCTCTGTAATGCCTTCGGGCCCTGAGGGTATAATAAATTAAATGAAATGAAATAATATATCTTAGACGTGACGACGGCCGCAGACGCTAACCAGAGTCATGGGTGGATACGTGAGTTCGCTACTTTCAAAGCATGCCCAGTGCAAAGCAGGACTGCTCCTTGCCTTGGAAAGAGTGTTTCTTCTTTCATTTGTAATTCAGCCGACTGTTCACGTCATGCATTTAGGCGACAGAACTTAGTGAAGAAATTCTTTCTAAGCACTTTGAAATGCTGTACGCACTCCATTGGGGCAGCTCGGCGAAGCAGCACCTCCGAATCACACTGGCAAACCATGTGTGTAAAAAGAGACAAAGAGTGGGGCGCATGTTGGTTTGTGTTTTGGTTTCCAACTCAGGAAGTCGTTTACGTTTGGCGGTCGGAAGTGCACAGATGGGAAACCAAAAAGTGTTGGAGATGGGGGTGCCAACTTCGGAAACTTTCCACACCAGTGCTTGGAGTCATTCAACGTCCTCGACCCTCATCACACAAGCACTAGGAAATACAGAGCATGTGGGCCCATAGAAGCCTGTGGTTTCTTTGCCAATCACTGACATCCCAAGAAAGGACGAGTTGACAGCGATTGGGCGTAAAACAGCAATGTTGGGGCGACAAGTGCACCCCAAAATGCCAGCACTAAGCCTAGCTGACAGCAGCGACCTCGACGAGCTCGCAAGCATGCTTGATGTTTTGTGCATCAAGGCTTTGCTGGGAGCTCTACTGCATCCACAATGGGCCGGACCGTGAACAGGAAGGACTTTCCCCTCTACCTGGAGTGTTTTAGGTGATACGGTGAGCAGCATATCCAGGGGTACGTTGCTTGAACTTTCAATAACATTCTTCTCGGTCTTGCGTTTCGAACATGTTTTTGTTTTTAAAAACATATAACTTTTTTTTCTTTCATAATTACAAAAAGCTACTTCTGAGAATTTCATATAAGAGAGAAAGTAAACCAATGAACCATTTAAGGAAATTACAGGTTCAGGACGTTCTGGTATGAAAATATGTGACCAAAACAAGGCTGGATCTATTGAGCTGCAGTGACTTAGATTGGACACCCCCAAAGTCTCTTTTGTTCCTATTGTGGTTTATCTTATTCCCCCAAGCTTGCACTCAGACACTTTTTCGCTCTTCTACCTAGTCTGTACAATTAAATTTTTATGCCTGGAATCTTCTTGCCCCGTTTTCTGCCATGCGGCGACAGTTATTTCTAAAACGGTGGATTTTTAAATGTCTATTTTCATGCTGAATTTTACATGAGACAATATTTCTCCAGGCTTTACTTTGTCCACCACTTAGTCAATGTTTCATCCATGCAAAAAAGACCCACCTTTTTTATTATAAGAAAATGATAGGCTATTTTTTAACGGTGCTACTCATTATCTTCCCTATCAATAAATCAGCCTGCAACTTTGCACAAATATATATTTTTTGGCTGAAATTAGGCCAACGCTCCCAAGTTTGCATGGTTAACATACTGTGCAAGTTTCATTGCAATCTGTGAAGTACTTAAAAATAGACCTTACTAGGCAGGGCTTCCCCTTGTCAACAAAACATTGCTGGAGCTATGTGGCAAAAATCAGAAGAGCTTACCTTTTTTTACAAAAAACTGTTATTCTCCTCACCCTCCAAGTGCAACGAAGTGGCAGACGATCCACCATTGTCCTTGGAATGCAGGCTTCCACCTGTCAGAGCAGCAAGCATCTCCATGGGCTCTGTTGGGAAAAAAAGCATGGGAACGTCACAGTGAGTCCGTTTCAAAGCATAGGCAGTTTAACAGTCAAAATGGACATCTTCGTGTAACTCTGGGCCGACGGTGTACATTTAGTGCATGCATAAGTACCCTTAGCAGATAACAGAATGTGGGTCAGAAAATAGGGAAGGCTCTACATGATATGACAACCCAGGTGTGCTGTGGTTCAAGGGTGACAAGTAAGCAAGGGCCATCAACACTTCATCTTAGAAGACGGATCATCGATAGATACCCCAGCTGTCACAATCTGCAAGAGTGCTAATGTGGATATTGAGAGAGCAACCATCTACCGCAGTGGTCTCAAACTCATTTGAGCATGGGGGCCAGATCGCCGACACTGGGAAGGCCGGGGGCCAGAGTTGGGGGCGGGCGAGAGAGAGAGAGAGAGGGGGGGGGGTTCAAAAGATTTTAAAAGAGAACACACCTCGTGCTCTATGCTTTTTGTAAACTCAGTTTTGCCAGTGCCATTTTTACGTTTGATTTGTTTATAAGACTACTTTGGGCCCTGACCTGATGTGATAACAATAATTGCAATGATACCGTCCCGCCAACGTGCTCGCATTTTTAATAGAACAAGAGAGCAAGAACACTGTCATTCTCGTTGCTCAATTCACTCAAGAATAACCCAGCTCAACATGTCCATAAAAACATTCAGTTGTTCGACAGTTCTTGCTTTCCTGCCCTATTGAAAAAACCAGCACAAGCTGGTCCCAGCATCCCAGCTTCATGCTGGGTTATTGCTCCAGCATGCCCAGCTTGCCGAATGCTGGGCAAATGCTGGGTCATGCTGGGTGAACTGCCCATGCCGGTTAGGCTGGTGTACTTCCCCACCATTTTAACCAGTTTAAATGAATAGAAAGGATAAACAAGCCAAACTCTTCAGAAAAGCCAGCTCGGCATCTAATTTATTATTTTGGTATTCGCGGTCCGCTCACATGAGCTCAGATGCTACACATCCACTGCGCTGACACAGTACGAACCGGCGCATAGAAAGTGGTTCTCAGTGCAAAACAAATAATGCTATTAAAACTAGATTGCTTATCTCTCAGCACAAAAAATACTAGACACACATCAAAAACAGGCAATAAAAATAACAAATACTACACGGATGAGAGAAGTGAACCTGGGTCCCGCCCGTAATGGAAGCGAAGCGTCCTCTTGCGTAGTCGGCAGAGGCGAGGAAATCCATGTGGCTTGGGTGGCATTGGCGATACTCCTAGGCACCACCGTAATTCACGAACGCGCAGATGTTCGAAGACACGAAACGACGCCTCAGTCAGGGCATCCGACTTCTTCCTGCGCTGAACGGACTGCCACTCACTGCCTCCTTAAATACCGCTTCCCTTGCACCGCCGTTCAAGTAGTCGCCAAACAATGCGCACACAGCCGTCCCTTCAAAAATCTGCCCAAGATGGCCAAACGTGTCTTAAATTTTCCGTTCCTACCACTCACTCTCTCTTTCTCGCACACAAAGGAAGCTTGCAGCGTGCCTGAAGCGCCCGGTCGTCTCCCAAAAACGAGAGGACAAAGAACAGGACGTGCCATCGTCCGCACCCCAGCCGACCTTGGCGTGCGCGCTCCCGGCAATGCCAGTCCGACAAGCTCTCGCCGACCTTGGCATGCGCGCTCCCAGCAAGACCAGCTTGAACCAGCATGGGCCAGATTCAGAACCAGCTCGAACCAGCTTGCCCAACTACAGTGCCAGCTTGAAGCAGCTTGAACCAGCTTGACCTAGACCAGCTCAAACCAGCTCGAACTAGCTTAAAAACCAGCTTGATATTCTCGCTGTTTTTTTAGGGGCGAAGCACCTTAGGGGCTAGCCATGTCCGTATGTCCGTCCACCGTCGGATGCACATGCTCCTGCTCGTGAGCTCAAGCGCTCACAAGCATGTGCTCCCGCGCTCGTGTAGGGAAAAAAAAAAACCCATCTCCACGTGGTGAATGATGTTGATTGGGGCAAAGCTCTGGTGGTGCTTGTCTGCGTAGACGGTGAGCCGCAGAATGCCAACCTTCCGTTCATCTCATCCATGTCAGAAAGAGAATGTGTGACGTGGTTATATACACATTTGAGCATTTGACCGCAGCGCGACATGGATGAAAACGAACAAAAGGCTTGGCATGCTGCGGCTCAGCGTCTACGCAGACAAGCACCACCAGAGCTTCGCCCCAATCATCATTCACCACGTGGAGATGCAGTTTTTTTTTTTTTTTTTTTCAATAGGGTGACGATTTCTATTACATCACCCACACTTGTTTTTTAATGGGGATATTTTTTTAAGCCGAGAATTCGGAGCTCGGAGCTTCATTTTCGGCAGTTGCTCCTACTGATCTAGACTTAGCGCATCCGAGATGCATCCTTCAACGAGGAGCTCACCCTTGCAGCCTAGTACCGCAATTGTTGTCATTACAAAAAGCTGGGAAGCAAACGATAAAGCGAAACAAAGTGCAAATGAACAAAGATAAGTAAAAACTATATGAATACGTTAAAAAAGCGGAGCGACATTTCGAGCAAAAATGAATCTGTGAGATGAGATCATAATGGCGCGTGTGCTCGAGACGTGGGAACCGGGACTCTTGGCCGGTTCCCTGCGGGCCGCGACCCAGCGAGTCACGGGCCGCATGCGACCCACGTGTTTGAGACCCTTGATCTACCATATTTTCCAGTCTGTAAGTCTAGGTGTTTTTCAAACAATTGTCTTGATCTGTCTTGCACAACAATGCAACTTATATAGATTTTTTTTTTAAATTTCACAGTGCGAAGCCTTTTTTTTATGCGCCACGTGCAATCTTCTGTAGAGCACCTTAACTATGTAGCCATAGGTGGTGTTGCTCCCTCCAGGAAGCACTGCTGTTGCCTCACTCTTTTAGGGAGGCTGTAGTTAGGGTGGGCGCAACTGTTAGATTGGGGATCACGAGATGTGGATGCCATGTTATTGCTAAATTTTACCGTGGGTCTATGGGGCAAACGGTCGTTTTATTTCCTAACTCAGGTCATAAGAGCCCATTAATATGCTTGAATAATTTACGCAAGGTATAAATGATTACTTTCCTATGGTAACCAGTTTTGTTCCGGTAGGTTAAGTATTTCTTAACGCGAAAAATGGTAAATTCCGCCATCTTGGACGTTGCTGCTTGTCTGGCAACCCTGCTTTCTCCTCTCGACGTTCGCAATTCCTGGAGCGAGAAGGAAGCGAGAGAGGCTAAGCCAAGGGATTCGTTGCTTGCAATGGGAGGCGAGAGGAGGAGAGGCACATGGGGCAACAGAGCGGGCATCTGCTCTCATGCAGGCAACATTGAAGCATGTCCTTTCCGGATCTTCTCCCTCGGGCGCCGCCTTTAACTTGCAGTTATTGCCACTACCTCTCAAGGTTTCTAGACGGGCATTACAAACGAGGCTTTAGCGACATCCGCCAGGTGCTCTTTGCTAATCGTCTAATTTGTTTTAAAATTTCTTTTCGTATGTTTTCTTAACACGATATTGGTGTGTCCGATGTGATCCTGCTCCTTTAAACACGTATAGACCAAAAAATAAGCGCCCAAATTTCGTTGTAGTATCCCATTAAGGTTGGTACTGTTATTGTATTCAACTAGGTCTCAGTGGACGCCAGCGGCCTGGGTATCAACGGCAAGTTTCCCAACTGAGTGATCTAATAACGTTGGATGTGACCGTTTCGCTGTGCCCAGGAGTTGTTCAGACCAATAGTTCAGACATCTCTCCTTCTTATACCGTGACATTCTCCCCTTTTCTTCTTTAATCATTTCGACCACAAGACAGTCTTTTCTAGTATTTAGTTCTCTCTGAAGTTTTTCTCGAACTTCCCTGTTAATCCTTAAAATTCCCTGCAATCACGTCGAAATTCCAATTGCCCTTTTCGCCAAAATTCTGATTGACAATTAACGAAAAAAAGGAAAATTCCCTGCATGGAACATCACTGCTAGTCTAACAACGCTCAACATCTTGGATGCATTTTGCAGCGGAGCTGTTAAAGGCTAGTTTTTTTTTTTTAGTTTCGTGTCCGTGGACAAATAAATCTCAACACCACCCTCTAGACACCGCGGGATTCCGGGAAACGAGGAGGCGGACATGTTGGCGGGCCTGGTCGACCCGAATTTCCCGGTCTCCGCGGCCAGCTCCTATGCTCCTATGAGGAGGTGTCCTGGGGGGCTATGTTGCGCTTTTTGCACTCCCAGGAGACTAGGGAGAGGGAAGTGACGTCAACGACACAGCAAACGCAGATTGGGTGTTGATTTCGTTTTCTTCTGTCAACATCCAATCTGCATTTGCCTTGTCGTTGACGTCACTTCCCTCTCCCTAGTCTCCTGGGAGTGCAAAAAGCGCAACATAGCCCTCCTGTGCTGGCCCGCCTACGGGAGCTGGCCTCCCACCCGGCCACGGCGGCGGGCCGGCCCCCCGTGCGTCCCTCTCGGCGTCTGCTTCGGGGCCACTCGGCGCTCCTTCACCGGCTCCGAACGGACAGCGCCAGTAGCCCGCTGCTCCTCTCGGTCCTCCACCCGGACTTGGACCCCGAGGGCAGCGCGGGACACTTCCTCCTGAGGTGCGAACGGTACGCGCTCGCACGGGTGGTCCAGGAACAAAGGTACGCCGAGTTAGGCTGCCTACCTGCGACGACTGAGGCTGCACTGCCGGCACTGCTTTTTCCCACCTGGACAGCGGCCAAGGCCTGTGGACCCGCGGACGCGCGGTCCAGTCGGTCCAGCCGACCGTCGAGAGCTGGTCGAGAGCAAGGATCGAGAGGGCACAGCACACCGGCAACACGGGCAACAGCGCTTCCGTGATCGGAGGCACTCATTACTGCAACGAATCGGCCGCTCATTGTTCTATTGATATATTGTAAAACTAAAATAAAAAGCAAAACAGATGTTCATAAAATGGAATGCTAACGTTTTAATGACAACGTTTGACCAGTTTGACGCCGTCGAGCTATGTTGAGCGGCTTCCTAGCCGTTTGCGAAGACGAAACCGCTCAAAATCCAACATGGCGCAGTCCCTCCGCCGGTGTCCTGTCTGTCCTGTGCCCACGACCGGATTTATTTGGTCGTGGTCTTGCCCTGCCGCTGCTCCCTACCACAGTACCGTCGCTGCCACTCCCGCGGAAGGAATTTACGGTTCGCGCGTGCCATGCCACTTGCAATTGCAAAGAATTGTAAGTTCTGCGTGCCTACCTTGTGTCCAGCAATGGACAGTCCGTTACTTGTCGTCGGCGTTTTCCAGAGAATCGAAACAGATGCAGCATTTTTCGCCCTCGTTGACGCATTTATTGTCATTCGCATGACAACGAAAAACAATTTACACTGTCACCTTAAACAATCGTTGCTATGCGAACAAAAACAAAATTAAGAATGCGCGCAGCATCTACGTTACATAGTGCTTTTTCAATGTTAAAGGCTATCGCCGGGCACTAAATATTTTCGTAGACTCAGATGCAACTATGGCGCGAGAATATCCGTATTCGCGATTTAAAAACGCAATACAGTAATTTTTCCTTAATTTGGTCGATCGTTTTGGTCACGCCGCGATCTAGGCCATATTTTTGTGGACTGATGCGTCCCCTTACAATTCTAACTCGTTACAGGGCAACTCCGCTCAATTCCGAAGATTTCGGGATAATGAGTGATTTCGAATAAAAAAGCCCTAGTAAAAGACACTACGTCGTTTGCTTCGCGAAAAATGGGATATATATTTTTAAATCTATTTTTAACACGAGCGGAAATCGAAACCGAAACTTCGGCTCCGTCCGGCAACATTGGCCTCGGGCCGCCAAGTACATGGCCATCACGTGGTACGAGATGTCACGTGATCCTCGGCCCAACGACAGGCGGTATGGGGGCGGGCGTGCTGCGTGCAGCAGGCGCGAGTGTCGTATGCACCGCACTCTTTGCCACGTTTTAATGTCTACGGCATTCGACGATGTCTGCACAACTGCGGCATAAGTCTGCGACTCTGCGCACGTGGTGTCCATAGTGTGGACGAAACTCCGAGAGGCAATAATCACAAACGGTGAGACGGCGGTAACGGCGGGACCACGGCGGGCGGTTGGTCTGCTCCCAAGAAGCGCGCTGCGCGTACGCCAATCACGTGGACACCGCTGAGCGCCGAGAGGCAACGTTGCTGACGTCATGCGCTACGCTCGATCGGAGAAATAAAAACAAGCAAAAGGGGACCATGATGATGACGTTTAGCTCAATGTTGGCTCCGCCCATGCCGTAGCCTTGACTGCGCTGTTGGTTGCGCCTGAATTCGCCCTCTCGAGTCAGCCGATTTCGGCAACTTGGCGAGTTGCAAAGTTTGCCGGACCGTTTAAGAAACATTTAGACAGAACTGCGTCGTAATATTTGACGTGTGGTCTTCCTAGGCGATACTGAAGAGGACTGCATTGTTTTTTAAAAACCAAAAATGAAGCGGAGTTGCCCTTTACGTTAAATAGAGAAACCCGGAGTACGGACTATGAACAGCTAGTTTGGGAACGAAAAGGGCATATACGTGTTCTTGTTTATTTTATTATGGTCTTTGTAAAGGTAAACCACAAACGCAAAAAAAAAAAAAAGAAAAAAGAAAAAAAAAATGTATATATATATTGGCCTCGAGATCGACCTAGAGGTGGTGCTATGGTCGCGCTATCATCATCATCAAAGCGGGGATAGGAGAATGGCCACCCGATATGCTCTCCACGTTCGCGCTCGAGACTAGGGGTGTCGCAAACTTTTGTCGAACCAGATTTTTAGGTCGAACTTTCGGGGTTCGACTGAATCGAACCGGTTCGACGAACCTTCAAACTTTTCACCAGATTCGACCGGTTCGACTTTGTGGATAGTGTGGCCAGGCCTTAATGCAAACATGTCTAGGTTTGAAAAAACAAATTTTATGCAAAATATTTTTTTTTTATTTTATAAACAGGAGCCAATTCTAATCACTGAAGAAGTTAATAACTGAATTTTTTGTACTGTATTAACTGAAATAAACAATCAGCGCTGCCCTTAATTCATTCCTCAGCCATCACCATCCAATCCGAAGCCATCTGGCCAGCCTGTGGCGCATGCGCACACGAGTCCAACCTCAATACAAGGTTCGTCGAATTTTCCACTAAAAGTTCGAAAAAGTCGAACCTGGTCGAACTCGAACCTCGGCCGGTTCGCGACACCTCTACTCGAGACGGCGTAGATTCTTGCGTTTATTTTGTCGCATACTATCGGTAGGAAAACAATTCTAGCGGAAAAGGATGCGGTACTGTTCGTTGCTTCAGTGAAGATCGAATTGTGTTGCCAGCGTGCAGCCTAAATTTATATAATCGCTTCTGTGGGTGCGTCGTCTGCTCTAGGCAGACGTTGGAAAGCATGGATCACCACGACTGATGCTTGTCTCCGGCTGAACTGGAATATTTATGTTAAATATTTGTTTCTTTTAAAATGGATGTATTGGTTCATCAATGTGGGAATTAAAAAGAAAAACAAATTCCAACCCAGATAACATAATACTGGTACTGTGGGCTGTGAAATCGCAGCTTCTGTGCTTTTTTTTTTTTAACTTCTAGCTTTTGCAGTAATATAAATATTACTGCAAAAGCTAGGTAAATGGAGATAAGTTAGCGCTGTATTGAAAATTACCATGCTATTGAGTTCCTCTGCCCTTTTACTGGGCCATAGTGTGGATAAGATTTTTGGAGTCTGAACTAATCTACTGCTTTGCGATGAGGAGAGTGTGTCTCTTCTAGTTAAGATCTGCAAACTGCACGGTTGGCAGGACAACTAAAACAAGTGAAACAAACTGTTCTAATATATCTGCCGTGACTGTAATAAACGAGTGTAACTGAGAAAAGCAGCGATGTTACTGTTATTAAATGCTTTTCTCGGCAGTGTGGGTTCACCCGCTTGTCTGGCTACTAATCTTGTATTCAAACACAGTAGACTCTGCAACCACAACAAACGACGCGCACCACGACACAGACAACATCGGCCGCAGTGATACACTTTTACTGATGGGGGCTAGCGACCCTCACGAGACTCCCATCAGCCTCCGCCCTCACCTAACGTATATTGGGACTGGGCAGTTCATCGATTAACTTTCAGATTATTCAAGTAATGCTTTAGTTGCATATTTTTTTGCCGGTTAATTGGAGCCTTGTGCTGGAGAAAGTTAACAAGGGAGTAAAAAATGCCTGCTTTAATATTTTTGACGTCTTTATTTCTTTTGTGACACAGGCTTGCACGGTAAACCACTTCAACGTGCTTGTCATTTTACCGAGGGTGATTATACTGTTAAAGAAATAACTTAAAAAATACTTAATTTTAAAAGGCCCCGTGTTCTTATTTATGTAGGACTCGCAGCGTGAAGTTTAGAATGGGTAATGCAATATGCCATTCATGACATAGTAAAACCAATAAAAAAATGTGTAGTTTTAATGTATTTCACGCAATATGACCGGCGAAAAATCAACATAGGGATTTATTGATTGATTAGTCTATTAAAGGATAGCGATCAGTTTGGTTAATATTCTAATCAAACCTAAGACCCACTCAACATTCAATGCTTTATGAAAGCCACGGTTTGTGCAAGATAACAAAAATATGTGGGACCAGCGATTGTATACAAACCAACACACTAAGATTATGGAAGCTCCCGACTTAATAATAATCGCTTTGCTGAATTTCTATGCATTGGAAACCTTTAGTAAGAAGAAACGGCTACAAAAACATAAAATATTTAATAAGGAATCTCAAGCTGAGCCTGAAACAACTTGCGTCGTCGAGATCCATGTTTCTGAGCGTGCGCCCGTAACAGACGACGCACGGCGGTATCCCCACTTTCGCGCATTTCCAATTTCGGCCGCACGGTGGCAACACGGTTCGATCTCGAGGCGAATAGTGGCTCAAGTCACCAGGCTCGATCTAAAATAGACCCTAAAAATCGACGCCTGCACGTAGCCATCTAAATTTTTCGTCAAAGGTGTATTTCACAAGTCGGTTTTTTCTTGTAAAATTGCAAATCGTAGTTCTCTTTCTGTAAAAAATAAGGCCAAGAAACTTGCCAGGGTCTACCTCGGGCAGCAACGCAGACAACGGGTCCAGTAGCGGGTTGTGTTTGGCGTTCGTATTGATAGATGGCGCTACCTCATAATCGTGACGGCTCGCGACCGCCGTGGTTTATTAAAATGAATATAATCTTTCTGAAATGTACCTTCGGTTAAAAAATGAATGCAAACAATAAAAGCAAAACTTCAATTAAAAAAAAAAATTTTCTGCATAACGGCGGCACTTTTGCTGCCAAAGGATTTCGTCTGCGTGTCGTCTGCTATCTTTCGCTGGTCGGCTGCACCTTCAGACGCTGCTCCCGACGCCGTCTGTAAATACGAACGGCAAACACAGCCCGCTACTGAATTTCGTCGTCTGGGTCACCGCCCGCCGTAGACCCTGGCAAGTTTCTTGGCTCTATTTTTTTACTAAAAGAGAACTATGCTCTGCAATTTCACAAGGAAAAACCGGCTTCTGAAATACACCTTTGACGAAAAGTTTAGATGGCTACATGCAGGCGTCGATTTTTACGGTCCATTTTAGATCGAGCCTGGTGATTTGAACCACCCTATATATATATATGTACTATATATATATATATATATATATATTTTTTTTTTGTAAGGATTGGTGAAGTTTTTCGGTTACAGAATTCACCCAGAGCTCCACTCTTGTCAGATAAGACCTGGGCACTGACAGTGCTGACAATGGTTAAAATTTTCAGGGGTTGCCAGCCTGAATCACTTGCCCTTCTTTCTCTATCACAGTTGCGAATTATAAACATAAAACTACATACCACCTTCATTGTTTATTATTTGTGATCTTGGCATCGATCGATAATTATGATTGACTAACATTATGGACATTTTTTGGGGGGAATGGAGATTTCTGTATTGAAGAGGAAATACTGTAATAGCAAACAGAAATATTTGTTTCCGTGACATGTTTGTTTCCGGTTTTTCAAAAATGTGTAACAATAATTATAGTTTCTGATATGCGTTACATGAAGCAAACACAATGTGAAGTAAATATGCAACCCTGTCGGAGGCATGTCTAAAAAGATATTTAAATGGTTACTGGTTGTGGAATCTCAAATACCAACCTGAATCTAGATGATAAAACGTCAATTGTTCAACCTGTGTAATAAGACAATTAAGGAAATGTTAGTGGGTCAGATGTTGTCCAGCAAAACTTGACATCTTAAAGAGCGAAACACTCCAATTAGTTTGAATTTTAGCTGCCAAAGATCCTGGTAACTTGTGCAGTTTCAAAGCAGGGAAAAAAGTAACTCCTTCCACTCAAAACCCACTTGTGTAAAGCTATATGTTCTTTTTCCCATTCCTTTGGAGATTAGCATTAATACAGCAGATACTGCTGTACTAGTGCTCTTAATAGTGTAACTTGTAGGTCCTTTTTTTTTTTTTTTTAGCGCTTCTGTTGTAGTTTTTTTTGCCAAAACTTGCCTGTGCAGGCATTTTTGGTTTGTGCCATGGTAAGTTATATTACAGGCAATTGTCTGCTTAGTGTACCTTGTGGAAGGAACCACATTTTATCTCTTCACCCTCTGAAAACCTTGCAGGCCAACTCCCTCCAAAACTGTCCTGAAGGCAACCTGGCAAATGACGCTGCTGCCCAGGAGACAAGGTTTGCCCCATTAGCAGGCTTAACTCTCAGCAACAGGCATTCTTGATACAGTTTCATTATTTACAGCAATGCAACCAGTTTAACCAAAACGAGCATCACCGACTCTTGGCCTACTTCAGGAAACCACTTACCTCCACGTAAGGGTGCCCACCCAAAATGACGAGAAAAACGGTGAAAACAGATCACTTAAAATGAGACAGCAAAACTTAAAAAAAAAATTGATGATACACACAGGGGCACTTGCTACAAATCACGGGACACTGGAACTGATACCATAGATTGTGGACAGAGCAGATTTGCATTTCACAATGTTATAGACACGTGAGAATTCGCCACAAACTCCTGTATCGTGGTAAAGGATACTGCACACCGTGGATGCAACAGATTCATGTTTCACAGTGCGATAAACATGCAGAAACCGACTACAAACTTGCGTGCCATGAAAGCCAATCTCACTTGCAAAGATCGCAAGCGAAAAACGTGGGAACTTGCTACAAACTTTCATGTCACAGCTACCGATATTGTGCGCGCAGATGACAAGCAAAAACACAGGAATCCACGCAAACTCATTTGTCACGAGAAATAGGGGATCTTAGCGAGGGTGCCCTTACAGGATTTTACGGTGGTGCAATGCAACTGTCCTACAATAACTTTTTTTTTTTACAATTTGTAGAGGGTTTGTTTTGGATCCTATTTCTGTAGCTATTTTTTACTCAAGTGGTGTATTATATTCTGTTGATCCTTACTGGTACAGTGACATCTTTAATGACACTGCTACACTTACATTTATCACAGACTGTTGCAGTGGTCCTGCAATAATTGAGCAGTTGCTGAAGTGCCAGGTTTCATAGCTCCTCTGTGGGGACAGAGATAAGACCTGCTCATCGTTACTTCTGACCATGGTGATGCAATCTGCACTGAATCTCTTGGAAGTGTATCAACGCAAATATAAGATCTACCAGTCTATATTGCATTATATATGGAATCATGATGTACTGCTATTGTAAACTGCAACAGATTGGCCATCACAGAATCTGTAGTGCTGGAACAGTTAGATACTTTGCAAGTATGTTACAATAAATGGTGGCATGTGCGTTACAGCACATGCTGACATTAAATTGAAGCTAAAGCAAATTTGCCAACGTTTGCAGTAATGAAACCTCTGCTATATAATGACTGTGCTCCGCTTGGCAGAAGCTTACAGTCGAGGCTTTGTTGTTAAAGATTGGTATTGAACCTCAGATACTGGAATTACTCACCCACTTGCATCAAGTGAAAAATGTTCATTGAAAACTCATTCTCCCTTCATTTAAAGAGTGAGCTATGCATTGAATAAATTTAAAGGATCATTAAACAGAGACAGGGCTTCTTAAGTGGTTGATGCTTTACTCTAATCCAGACACCTGCCTAAGCAAGAGCCCAAGTGATCACCATGAGTATATGAGTTAGGTTGAGTTCCCTTTAGTTATGTATTTGTCTTATATTTGTTATGGAGGCACATACCTATGTAGATGGCTTGCATGAGAGCAAAATTTACATGTAAACCCAATCATCCAATTTAAAGTTCAGCGTTCAAAGAATTGTGGTTGGATTAACTAATTGTAATTGCATTTGTGTGCTTGATTTTGTTTTTAGTTATGTACTTTTTCTGTTTTGCTAAATTGGCCTTTAGTGCCTATTTTAATCTGCAGTATGTGCTGTGGCATTAAAGTTAATAATGTGCTTTCTCTCTATAACCGACTGTCTTTTCTCTATGCGCTCCTTTTCTAAAACTCGTAGGTCGGCCCCGGAAGAGTGTCCAAAAAGAAAATATGGCAACCGGTACATTCCTGCTTTGAAGAGAGTCGTGTGGATAGTTGAGTGTGTCAAACTTAAGTGGCACACATTCTTTGCACAGGTTGCCTCGGTGGCTCTGAGGCAAAGCGCCGGCCTAGTGACGCCCAGGTGGCGGGTTCGAACCATGCCAAGGCGCACACAATCAGACAAACACTTATTTGAGAGATTGCGCCGTGTAACCAACATTTCTGTTGCGCGTCAAAAGGTTGAAATTAATACCCGGTCCTCCGCTGAAGCTTGCCTGATGCCTCTTGTTGGGTTGGGACGTGAAACCCCCAAATTTGATTTGATTTTGATTTCATCCTCTGCACAGTGCTTTTGTTTTCAGCAATGTGAAAACATTGAATAAAAATAACCACTGTCACCCAGGCTCAGGTTCTTGCAAGAAACCGACTGCCCCTTTTTACCTCAGTCTAAGATGGTCAGCTCACATATTCTTTGCTACCATTGCATTTATGTCGATCGAACCAGTGTGGCACAGTTGTAATGGTTGCGTTTGTGTACTGTTCGAAACTGGAGTGTGAAAGATTCTTTGGCTCAAATAGAAGTCTTGCACTGGAAGTAGTTTGTTTTACTGAGTAGCTTATGATGGGGGGGGGGGGGGGGGGGGATATAAATGTTAGGGTTCGAAAATACAAATTTTCCAATGGTAGATTCAAACAATATGCTATTCGATATCCGCCTCTAGATGAACTGCAATATTCATATTTTTCGAAGTGTGGATTGGCCCAGTTGAATGTCCTTCATACCAACCACCGGTGCGCTGCGGAGAAGCAACATCCACAGGGCTCGTTTCCACGGGTGTCGCTTCTCCGCAATGTACGGGTGCTGCTAAGTGCTCGCTGAGAAGCGCACTTATGGGGACTAACCTGCCACAATCAAAACTTAGAAAAACAGAATTATTGCTGTCGTATACTTAAAAAGAAAGCTCGCTTTCAAAGCAAAATGGTGCATGTGTGTGTTCATGGTCTATTTAAAAAGAATAGGAAACTTGGTAAATGTTGATATCTATGTTGCAGGAAAAGTTTCGAAACCATAGCAATTATGCAAGAGTATATGTTGGGCAGAGATGTCTTGACAGCCTGCATTCATAATTCATGAATGTCTGTTTAGTTGTCTCAAATTCAACATTTAAGAATGAATATTTGCATATATCAAGAAGATTTATAACTGCTTGATTAGGTATTACTGAGCATCTAGGTGTCAATATATCACTCTAGATGTCAAATAAGTCATTTACTTGCCATTCCGATATAGGCATAGAAATGTTTGAGTGCACAGTCCATAATTATAGTTGAATTAAAATTAGCTTAGAAGCAGACAAGTGAAAACTTGGGAACAACTTTTACAAGTTCAGCTACGTTTTCGTTTAAGTATGGTGCATTTGTGAAAGGTGTCATGTTTGTGTTGCCAGTGTTGCTTTTAAGGGTCCTTATATGTTGACATTCTTTACTGGTTACTTAATTCCAAAGTAGGTGAATGCTAAGATGCTTGTATCCAGATTGGTGTTTAAATGTTATTTGAGAGCATCCGTAGAAATCAAAAGGTGTGCAAGCCACTCATTCAACAAGCTTTAGAACATATTTTTGAAAAAATACAAACTTTCTTAAAAGTTTTATGTGGAAAGTTTTACATGTCTTCTATTTAAGATTTCTTTTAAAAAAATGTTCAATTCTTAAAAGTCTTAATGTTCTGTGTGATCTATTCCAGGATTTATTAAAAATCTTAATATCCAGAAATTTAAGCATTCATTTGACCAATTCAGTATGCTATGTAAAAGGTTTCCAGTTAGGTATTGTAGTTAGATGTCACTATTATTGTCAGTGTTTCTATGCAATCAATTTAGTTTTATATGAAAATTAGCCTACTAAGTGTGAATTATATCGTGTTGCACTGCTGCACTGAAGTCGCTCGTGCATTTTTTGCAGGAACTGCTTTTGAATGTTCACCATCATGTATATCTTGCAGGTTGAAGCCTTGTCTCAAGAAAAGACCAGAACATGCCTCATCCCTACATCGATCAAGGCCTTGCCACCACCAGCATTTTACAAGCACAAACGTTTAGAAGTGTCCCTGTTTGCACTATTTTAATAGCTTTGCAATTTGGCATGTTGGGTTTGGGAAAGGACCTCAATCAGTTCCCTCCTTCAAATGAGAGAGGAAGACAATGTTACAAATGCAAGTGACAGTATTTTACTGCAGCTCTGTGATAACAAACTTTACCGACCGACCGGGTTCAAGCACTTGACTGAGACAATATCAGAGAAGAGTACTCAACGTCCGGACTCTGACACCAAAATTCACCAAACGAGTTTTTCGCCGCATGAAGTCCCAAATGAACCATACGATTTGGTGCAGCTAAGCCTACTCTGTCGGGCCTCAAGTTCGGACGTTGAATACGAAACAGAGCAAATGCAACTGTATCAACAAAACTGCATCGCATTGGCTTCATTCAGATAAAAATGTCACTTTGGACTTAATCAGATGCCTCTTTCCAGAGATAGGTTTGAAGGAGAGGGAGAGAAGCATTTTTAGAGTGGCCAAAGTGGTTTGTTGCCTGTAGGGGGTGACCCATTCCTTCCAGCTCCCTGGTGTGTTATTGGCAGGGTGTGGTTTTGGTGATAGGAGAAACTTTGGGGCATTCTCACAGATGTTTGTTACTAGGGTAGGGGCCACAGTGCATGCATGTGGGTGCGTGTGGTGCACTGCTAATATTGTGTTCGTGATGTTCAGCGAATAGTGTGTTAATTTGTGTGCGTCGTTGTGGCATCCTCTTGCTAAAGGCGCTAAATGCGTTATCGTGTGAAGATCTCTGTACTCCGACTTCTTTGAAGTTGTACATTATTTTTTGAATGGTATGATTTGGCATTGGCTTCCTTATTAACATAATGACTTACTACTCTCAAGGCAGGATAGGATATTCCCAAGCGTATCAGTGAATGGATATTTCCATGTATAGCACCTATGCTAGATGGGTGTACAACACCATGTTATAAAGTTATGTCCATTAAATTCACTTTTATGCTCGCACATTATTAAGTCATTCACTTGCCAGTGGGCAGGCAATGCCTGTGTGTTGCAGTTTTTTTTGGCTCAGAAAGTGTCAAAGACTGCCTGTTTTTATTGATGTCACTACATATTTCATCAAAATATGTGTGCATCGCTATGCCTTCAATTGGTGGTTCTTAAGTCGAAAGGTATCTGCCACAACTGCACTGTTGATATCTCGGGCAAACTTTGGCACTGTTGTGGCCTTCATGCTACTTCGGGCAGCAAATCGGAGCTGGCTCAATCTGATTTGACACATCTTCCCGGCAGGTCCTGCCATGGGAGCCATCAAGGACGAAGGGGAGAGTTTCGGCTACGAAGGCACCGAAAGCGAGGATTTTTCAGAAGATAGGTCAGGCGGGTTGCAGAGGGAGACGCAGCAACGACGGGAGGGCGAGTACAAGTGCCGCTTCTGCGATTCCTCCTTCTTCAGCAAATACGACGTCACGCGTCACGAAAGGACACACACTGGAGAAAGGCCTTTCCGCTGCCGCTTCTGCCACAAGGCATTCATACAGAGGAGCCACCTGCTCCATCACGAGAGGATTCACACGGGTGAAAAGCCATTCAGGTGCCAGACTTGCACGAAGACATTTGCACGGAACTCCTACTTGATAGACCACGAAAGGATCCACACAGAGGAAAAACCATTCAAGTGTAGCCTCTGTAAGGCTTCGTTTGGAAGTAGTTCAAATTTGGCACGTCACAGAAAATTCTATTGCGGAGACCGACTGTATTGATGTGACCTGCAGACAGGTAGTCGTGCAGAGGACATTTGACTTTGTACCTTAAAAATTACCACCTGTGAGGAATACTTAGTCACGGAGTTAGTTTGCATTTGAAATTTAAAGGCTTCTGTAATAAAATTCTAGCATTTTTTATTGCTTAATTCTTTAATGATGGGATATAAAAAAATTGCTTAAAACATTTATTTTTTAAGATAATTATGTTTAACAAGATCAAATAAAAGAACAGAGCTGAAATAAAAAAATTAACTGTCAAATTATAGCCTTGTTGCATGTAGGCAGCAGCAGGCAAAAGTCGGAAGGGGGCTTCCTTGCGTAACCTCTATGGATTACTATAAAATGTCAATAATATCATAAAATATTAGCGGCAAGAGAAAAACACCCATATTTTCTGCCATTCTTTGCCGCCGCGTATTTGCTCGCCAAACTTTTTTTTTTTAACTATGCATATATTTTTTACTAGATGACGCTGTATGGATGGATGGATGGATAGATGATAACGGCTGTAGCCTTTATAACGGGCGGTAGCTTGCGCCATCTAGGCTAAAAACAATAACAGAAACCTGACTTCTTCTTTCAAACCAATGTGTTTCTCTAACTCTCACCGCGCCATAAAGATGATCGCTGGGCAGACCATTGGCAGATTGGGCAAAAAAACTAAAAATATCACCCCCCACCTCCTCCCCCGGTGTAAGGGAGTCAACAATTTTCCTCTGGTCGAACATTATTGTAGGCCTCACCTAACACCTGGGGGACAGGGTTGAGACCTTGGGCTGGAGGGGATCTTCAAGACTGCTGCCAGACTACTAGATTAAACAAAAAAAATGTGAGAAAACCAAAACATTTAAAAAATATTATTACATGGTTTGATGCGTGTAGGCAACATTCATCAATAAAGGATTAATGTCAACAATGTTCTGACCATACCACACAGACACCCAACTTTTTGCTTGAAAACGCACCAAAACATTAGGAATATACCGAATGTCATGACGTTGATATGCACTTGAAAGAACCGCTGCTTCGCGGAAATTCAGTGGCAAGCTGCGTGTGTGCAAGCCCTGTCGAACCGGATTTTCGTTCTCTCCCGGCCTATGGAACCCTTGCGGGGAGGGGCAACCAAAAATGGCCAGGTTTTAACTCGTCGACCATGCCAAGTGGCAGACCTCATGACTAGCGTTCGGTGTTTTCGGATAAACCCGAAAAAGTTCAAGAAACCCCCGCTGGTGAAATTTTGGTCAATTCGGATTTATCCGATGAACTCCGAATTTTGATGTGCCAATGCCCCCCCCCCTCCCCTTTCCACCCCCCAAAAAAAATCGAACAATGTAAAGATGGTATTTTACAATTAAGTTTGATCAGTGCACAGGGTCAATGGTTTTGGGAAAATGCCATCACAGTTATCTTTCAAATCTTGGTTCATTGACAGAAGGGATTTTACTGCTTATTTCGTCAAGGTTCAGGACGACATGTCATTGTACTTTCGGGTCATGTCAAAGGCCTCTGTATTGGTTTCCAGTTTGGGCCATACTAATTGTGCTTTGAGAGGAAGGAGGGGTTGTGTTTTTGTAACAATTAAACCTATAGACCAGGGGTGGCCAACCTGCAGCTCGCAAGCTGCATGCGGCCCTTCGCTTGTTAATGCGCGGCTCGCGGCCCCCCCCCCCCTACCACCCCCCCCCTCCCCGCCTCCCTCCCGGTCACACGAGCACCTCCCTCAAAAAGAAATGGAACGTGTTTTAAATCAAAAGACAGGTTGCAGTTTGGTGATCTTATGGGACTGCTACCTTACGTACAGTTGAACTGCTTTTGACTCGGATAGATTGAAAGTAGTTTGAGTTTCTGACTAGTTGTAGAAGTTTCGGCGTTCAGACGCCTTCCCCACATACATTTTATTTTCAAAAAATAAAATGTAAAAATTTTTTTTATTTTTTGCCAACCTTGATTTTTTTTGAAAAAACAATTAATTGGCAACATTTTGATGCATCATATAGCTCCATATGAAAATTAGGTTAACAAAAGCGTTTGCACGAATCCTTTGAAAATCCCTACTTTTACCATGGTCGGTCAGGAAGGGTTAAAGCATCACGAAAAGTATTCTTCGATTGGAGTTTATATAGACTTTTTATATTGGACTGTATATGTTTTTGCTGTTTTGGGGCACCCTTAATTTTTTCAGTATTAATAAGCTGTGAATTAGCAATCGGGAATGAGCAGGCTCAAACTGCAAGCACTTCTACATTAGCTACCAAGCTAAAGTGTAAAAGAGCTTTCCAAGTTTTAGTACTACACGCCTTTTACCTTCTGCAGAAGCTTACGGTATGTTCTTCACCGATGGTTTCCCCTTGACCTTTGAACAGGCAATGCCTTAGGGGTGACTCTTAGTCTAATAGAGTAAGGGCCACTGGCAGCAAAGAGCATTCATTACATTTGTCAGGAAGTGTATAATGGTACGTGGAACTAGTAAAATTATTGTCCACCTTCCGGAATGCCAGCACTACTCCTTTTGGGCTGATTGCGGTGACACCTCCACAACCGCTGCTAAGATGATCTAATACAGGGGTGGCCAGACGGACATGTGCAAAGATTTTAAGTGAAGATGTAACTTGATAGGATGGAAGCTTGGGCGAGTTGGTGAACCATACTTGACGGTGACAGCGCAGGAAAAATCAATCTCACACCAGACACTCAGCGCGTGTGCTTGTCTTCCTGAGTGTCTGGTGTGAGATTGATTTTTCCTGCGCTGTCACTGTCAATTAAGTGAAGAATTACAGTTAAAAAGAGGTGTGTCAGTTTTTAATCTTTTTAAAATTTTTGTGTTTGTTGGTGGGGACAGTTTCTTCTTAGAAAGCAATTGCTCAATATGTCTTTTTATTGTCTTTTCTCATTAAACAAGTACCTTAAAATTTGGCTAGAATTATGTGCAGTTGTGCACGGCTCGGTTAGGCGTCTATCCGTCAGGGTCACACACTGTTTTCATTTTAGCTCCCTCATTGTTGAGATTGGAGCCACACAGTAATATGTTCATTTGAATATTAACGGAGGTTTCTGTCTTGCAAGTCTGACCTGGGCATACTTTCCTTCTGACACCTGCCACCAGTGTCCCTCGTACCACAGGACCGTTTCAGCCCTGTGCCTGCGTCGAGTTCAGAGAGCTCCACTTCGATTGCTCCCCAATATTGCGCAAAAGTTTCCATGGCTGGACAACCACCATTCAATGTATCAACCATAAAAGGATTCTGAATTTCATCGGGAAGGGGGTACGCTTATCAAGGAGTCGCAAACCACACTTGGACATGCAAAGGGCCATGTGCAGCTCGTCAGCTGGTTTAACCACCCTTGTCTAACATGGAAAAAAAAAACATATTGCGCTATATGTATAATTAGACAGCATGAAGTGAGTTGGCCCAAATGGGTGTCCAGTATTTGCAGCAGATGAGACATTTTGCCAGTAGAGTTCAACTGCTGGCCTGAAGTTCTTAGTTTTACATCGTGCATATAAGCACTCACATGCTTATGTGGGTCGGATAATGTACAGTACAAACGGTTGCAATAAAAGCTAATATTATAAGTGCAGTAATGACACGCCTGCACGCTGGTACGATGCTCATCCGAATAAAAACGAACTGGTGGGGGTTAAACCCAGAACCCTTTGGTTCTGCACGCAAACTTTTGTTCCTTGTGCTCCGGGCTGCAGTGCATTGGCACACTTGATCACTGATCCCCCATCTAATATACATGTTTTAAATTAAACTCCCAAGAAACTACTAGGGGTTGGGGAAAATGAGAGTTCCCTTAAATCTTCTGTTGCCTCTTGCGAACAGTGCAGGGCAAGACGGAATGGCAGGGCAATCGGAACCACATTGACTTGGGTGACACCGACAACAAGCCCCCTTCTCCGGAAAGCGAGTTGGACAGGCGGCAAGTCAAGAGCCGGCCCCAACAAAAAAGGTTGCACCGATGTCGCCTCTGCCCTTATTCCAGTTCTCGTGCATATTGTGTCACCATTCACGAAAGGACGCACACGGGAGAAAAGCCATTCAACTGTCACGTCTGCCAGAAAGCATTTACTCGGAATTATGGTTTACAGCGTCATATAAAGACTCACACAGGTGAAAGGCCATATCGGTGTGAGGTGTGCCGGAAGGCATTTCCACAAAGTTCCGACTTGGTGCGTCACAACAGGATGCACACTGGGGAAACACCTTACAGGTGCAGCAAGTGCGGGAGCATGTTTCAAGATCCTTCCAACTTCGCACATCACAAAACCATTCATGAAGCCGTTTAGGTGTAGAGGCAATTAAAACCAGCATCGGAAGAATATGCGTATGTGACGAGTTTCCATCCTGTGATAACCCTCGGGAAGGTGTGTGTGTTGGCAGTTTTACTGGCCTTGTGTTTCTCATGGCAGCCGGATATTTGCTGACACAAGGAAATGCAGCTTTGAAATTTTATTGTTGAGTTTCATGACTTGTGAGCATTCATAGTTTGTGATCGCCACTCCACGGACTGCTGTAGCACCACTGTCCCAGTGCCTTTCTTGTTCAAACATAATTTGGGTTTTTAACCTGTGATTTCGTGTTTGGAAATATGTCAAGTTCCCTATCTCTTACAAACTGATGAAGTGAAATATGGTTTAGCTGAAGGCATCTTCAATGCTATGTATAAGTTGCTACATGTAGACCCTGTATAGACAAAACCAAGTCTATAACCATTTGATTTTTTTTTAAACTTTATTTTAGTTTTGTTATTTATGGGGCAACTGAACATGCTTCATGTTGAATTGGTTTTCCTAACATTGCAAAACATGTACACACTACTTGTGTCCGACAGTTATTAATTTAAAGTCGATTTAATAGATCAGAAATAAATTGCTTGCCGTGTACATGTTACAATTTTCTTGTTGCCTAGTTTCACTGAAGGAGAATTTTACATACGCTGAGAATGGTAACATATACCTTGTTCACCACCTCTTTTACACTTAAGCTTCACCAACTGAGGTTATAATAATATTGGCAACTACAAGGATGCAACTGCTACACCATTTGTGCCAAAGTGTACCATGACCAAAAGTCTGCTACATTTTGCATCAAAATGCCCATTTTGCTCATAATTGTGCCACACCTGCACCCGGATGAGCCGAAACAAAGCAAAAACAATCAAAATATTCCATTATTGGGTGACCCTAATATTCAGAAACTGTACAAAATTGCTGTCACAGCACCTCTACTCGCTGTAATTTGTTTGATCTTGGGTCAGACCACAGCCGAAGGCTCAACCATACCACAACCACAAACAAGCATACTAAAAGTGGAATTCACGGGGAATTCACTGTACCCGATTGGTTTGACCGATTAAGGGGAGACACCGCTCTTTGAGGCAAAAATATACAAAGAAAACACATTTTTGAGATTGCGTTTTTTGAAGGTTGGCAAGCACTTATTTTGTCCTGAAGGATTTTCGTTAAATGAGTCTCTCTTATCTTGAGGTATTGTCTTGGAAACAAAGTACCGTAAAATGGATCTGTGGATTTTTTTAAATATTATTTCTGAGTGAACTATTTACACCCTTTACTATTTTATGGAAGCCATATCTCCACTTCCACATATCTAATCTTCATATTTTTCTTTCTCTGCTAGCTGTATGTGTGACATATGCCATAAGGGGTACAAATATATTAAATAGGCTATCAGGCTTTTTGTAGGTGCCTTTTAAGCATCCTTTTGAAACTGGAAAGTTCAAAAGTGTCCTAAGAAGTTTATAAATCACCCTAGAGCTTTTGTTTATACCTTATTGGATTCCACACACCTCTTAGTTCACTGATATATGTTTATTTTCTTTTTTCAGTATTTCAATTTGTCTTAATCCTTCCCATAATCTTTGCAAATTCAATTTTTAATATTAACAAAATTAACTAGGTTGCATCAAAACCAAGTATATATTTGTAGTCGGATTGTAATGGCAAATAAGCCATGTAAATTCCATTTGAATTGAACCACAAGTTATATAAAAAAATCTCTAGCAGCAGTGTTGCCCCTTAAAGAGAATGAATGCCATGATGTTGCGCTTTTGAAGCCTTTTGATTGGTCCCCCCTTGACTCGTAGCAACTGCTGCACTTTGACTTGAGGTAAAACAAACTTTAGAGGTTGTTTGCCAACCATGCTAGCCCCGTCATCTGAATTTCCAAACGACATCGGCAACGTCAGGAGCTAAAAGTCGCCAAGCAAAAATTTGTAAAATAGCGGGATGATGGCTACTGGGAAAAGACGAAACCTGATTACATCATTTTACGATGCCGTGCTTCCGTGTTGTGGCTACAGTGTGTCTCGGTACATGCGCCTCCTGCTTCAATCTTAACCGCCTCTCACCTGCGCATTGAGCTTCACCGCTTTGCACCGGAGTGCTTGGAGCAGTGGCTTGGGTAAAGGAGCCCCTGGGCATAGCCTCCTCTATACTCGCAAAGCCTGGCAGTTCAACGATGGACCTATAGAGTGCCCGGTCGCAGATTTGGAGCGCGAGGATCCGGTAGCGCAGAACAATTCTCGGGGAACCTGGATGTCAGCGCACAGCTTTTGCAGGACCCGAAACATAGTTTTCAAACCAGACGAGAAGGGAAGCGGTAGCCCGAGAAATACGAGAAGCACGAGCGGACATTCCATCGCTCGGGAAAAGCGTGTTTTGGCGTCTCGCCGCAGCGGGACGCCCGTCGCGTGGCTTTCCTCTCTTCCGTTGTCTGCCGCTCTACCTTTTCAATTTTGGCGGCCGCTTCTCGTGGCGATCTGCCAGGCTTGGTCAGTGTAGAGGAGGCTTTGGCCTGGGTTAGCGCAACAGGCTCGAAAGATATGCCCGACAGGTCGACCTGACTTCCTTTGGTCTCGATTGTAGGTTGACCTGCAATTTTAAAAAGCAGTGTCGAGAAAGAGAAAAAAAAAAATGCGGGTCCATCTGTGAATGATTATGATAGTCAAGGCAGTTGACACACAGCAGTCAATCGAAAGAGCTGCAAACTTTGACTCGACCCTGGTTCCAGCATCGCTAGAGGGCAGTGTCACTTTTAAAGCGCAAGTTTAGGCCTTCATATTTGTGGGCGGCTGTTATTGCAGTTTATAATATCGGAGTCTTGATTTTGGTTGGTACACAAAAATTTGGGAAATGCGTTTTAATAGGCGTTTTAGGGGATATGCTGGCCCTTGCTGGCATTTTACAGGAAAGATGGGGGGAGGGACTTTATCTCAAAATAAGTGTTGCGGCACGATTTATTTCTTAGTAGATTCTTTTTCATACCCATTGTAAATGGAACCTACTCTGACAAAAGCCTTATTCCTAAAAAGGGGGCTCTGTGTTTCTTTCGTGCCCTGTATATTCTTATCACAAAGGGTAACAAGTAATATGCTTCCAAATCAAAGAAAAACCCTCAATTATTATCGAAGATAAACTCATTTAGCGATGCAATAGCTTTTACTTTCGAGTAATGTGCTAACAAGTGTTGGCATCTGCTCCAAAATCGTGTGTGGCTGCTCCAATATTTTGCCTGCTACAGACGGTCGAATGCCGCTTATGTCACTGCCACTATTAAAGGAATAGTGCAACGATTTTGATGTTAGAAGAACTTGCAGTTTGTATTTTTTATAATGTGTGTCCAGCACAAGTGAGAAAAAACACACCACCTTGCCCCCAAAAATTTTGCTATTCCGCTGCTTAATCGCAAAAGAGGAAGCAATTCGTTCGCCGATCTGCAGCCGGTAACTATGGTTATGGTAACTACGGTGAAACATCTTTTGGGGGACACACGGAAGTCAACAAAACCTCTCCCTTTTTGCTGCTACACTGACTATCAGCCCCTTGGCGAACAGTCTTTTGCGTTGCTCACTCGCCGTGACCTTCGGCAAACTAATCCTTGGAAAGTCGACAATCACCGAGGAAGCGGCTGGGGTTCTGAAGAGAGAATCCAATGGGAAACCAGATGGTCCCCCAGAGTTGTCAATCCAAAGATGACGTGAGAGTTGAGGTGCACTTTGACCTTCGATTTGTTTCATCTTTTTAAATAAAATCTAGCACACGCAAGAAAACACAGTTTTCTCTTCTTCGTTCCATAGGTGACACAGATTAATTCCCGCAGTTAATTGACCAAAATCAAAGAACCATTGCACCGCCCCTTTAGCTTTCGCAAGAACAGTGGTTGAGTCAAAAATGAATTTTACGTGAAAAAAAAAAATTTGTTCGCAATATTGTGATGCGAGGCACGATTTAGTCAGCATTCACCTCCTTTCCACCTGTTTTCTTGGCATTTCAGGTTCGTGGAGGAGAGGTGCATCGGCTTGACCATCACATTGTGGTGGAGAGAATGTATACCGATCTTGTTGAGGTGGAAAGAGCGTATGACCATTCCATGATGTCATTGACTTTGCGGTCAGATTTTTAAAAAAAATCTCGCACCGTCAATACTGCTCTAAAAATTACCCTCATGGTCTTCACGCACTCATACCCCTCACGCACTGATGGCCCTCACGTTACTCACCGCCCTCACTCCCTCATGGCCCTCACTGACTTATGGCCCTCACGTCCCTCACGCACTCATACCCCTCATGCACTCATGGCCCTCACGCCACTCAGGCCCGCTTCAGATGGGGCAATTTCGCCCAGAAACTTGACGTCGCAACACCAGCAACACGGGCCGCCCGCGTTCACACGCAGCAACCAATTGCCACAATTTGCCATCATCATCATGAAATTATATTTTTCTTGCACTATTTAGACACACAATTACACGCTATAAACATGTTTTTATGCATTTAAATCTTGTTGAGAATACTAATGCATCTTCTGAAACAGTTTATTTCCAAAAACGATCAATTTCAAATGAGAACCAAGTCTTTTGTTGTCATCATCACCGGCACGAGGTACCACATGAAAATATTGCGTCCCTGATTGGATGCAGCCGCTTCAAACGTTCTTGAATTGCTCAGAGTTGCTCCCTTCTTTCGAGCTGGACCCGATCTCAGCAATTCGTGTCGATGTAGGGAAAACTAGGGAACAACCCGCCTGCAACACCAAAATTGCTGAGAAAGTTGCTGCTCTGAAGGGGGCCTCACGCACTCACCACCCTCAAAGCACTCTCACTCATCATGGCCCTCACGTCACTCACCGCCCTCACGGCCCTCGCACCCCTCATGCACTCACCGCCCTCATACCCCAAAGGCACTCATGGCCCTCACGCCACTCACCGCCCTCATGGCCCTCACACCCCTCACGCACTCACCGCCTCCACGCACTCACGGTCCTCACACATGAATTTTCCTCGTTCAGAAACTCACTCACCCTCACCTCACCCATGAAGACGAGGGTGAGTAAGGCGGTCATGAGTGAGGTTCGAGGTATGCTGATAGGACACGTCGCAGGTTTTAAATGGGGGAGCTTTGTCGACAAATGTTCAACTGTGTTCAACTTTCTTTTGCACACGGCTGGAGAGTGATCTCGTGGGCCACAACTTCCGTCGTCTGCTCTCACTTTTTGCCTGAGGGAGACGAGACGAAAATGCATTTGTCGGAGCTCAATTTTTTTCGGGGCAGTGAGTGCAGGCATGTATGCAGCGTTGCCAATTTAGCGGTTTTCCCGCTAAACTTAGCGGTTTTTGGTTCTGTTTAGCAGGATAAATTATTGTTTTGCGGGCAGCGGGATTTTTAGCAGGTTTTATGGCATCTTGCCATTTCTTTTAGAGATATAGGTTTTATATTGATTTACCGTCAACTATGCACCTGTCGTATTCATAATCAGCCACTGTCGTCATTGTTTACACTCAGTAATGTTCTGGTTAGTGAGAGTAACGCCTGTGACATCAAAACATTAAGGCGTCGAATATCGGCACATGCCTCCCTGTTTTGTGCGCGCACGTTTGATGAATTTCCAATGTTTCTTCGACGCTTTTGTGACTGTCTCGTGAAATGGGCCGGGTGAAGTCCGCTCATAAGTTTAGAAAAGCCTTGCTACAAGACCTCAAACTTAAAGACTGCCTACTAGAGGTTCCTGGTGATAGCAGACGAACCAGGTATAGCTATTGCAGAACGGAACTATCTGCACAGCACGTGGATTTGGTTGCACACGCTGAAACAAAGAAGCATGCTTCGACCGCATGCACCTTTCTCCTCTGGCAGGTAGACGACTTTACAATTTGAAAGGAAGTCTGACCAGTCACGCACTGCTGAAGGGTCCCTTGCCATGTTCGTATGCGTTCACTCCACAATTTTGGCTTCGTATCACCTGGGCAAACTGTGTCGCGGCATGACAGATTTCTAGTCACAACAAAAGGAAAGCTTCCTTTCAGATAACATTGATATGATCTATACTGTTATAATACCTTCGATCAGGAATTAAAAAAAAAAATGTTAAAAAGTCATTTTTGTGTTGTGTTTTGGATTTAGCGGTTTTTAGCAGTTTTCGGGATTCCGATTGTGAGTTTTCAATTTTTGAGTTGGCAACACTGCATGCATGGAGTGATGGTGCCGAAACAAGCTTGAAGAATGTAGACACCTGTGCAGTGCCGGCCAAAACAAACCCGCTCCATGCTGCGAGTGGGCACGCATAGGCACGAGAGCAGTGATACCAACTCGCTATAACATTCTACACAGCAGAAACTATTGTCGCCAATCTGCTATGTTCTGATGCTACGTTTTTAACCCTTTCAAATGCTAGGTACAAAACTCTGTACATCTAAAACCCTCACTTTTTGGGGGAATATAACGTATATTGAGACATCTTAACAATTTTAGTGGAATTGTATGCTCACTATGTAGCAACTCAGATTTGTGAAGAAAAGTTTAGTGAAATATATTTACATAAAGTTTGCGAAGAAAATATTTTCCACAAGTGGAAAGCGGCATTTGGAAGGTTTAAGTCTCCTTTGACTTGCCTTATTAATTCAAGTCTTAAAAAACTCCTGAAAAGAAAAAAAAAGTTTTTTTTTAGTCTGGTTGGGACACGCATGTCAAAAACTAAATTTGACGTGAAAAAGAAAATCTTTTTAATTGACGGTGCAAGATTTATTTCACATTCTCTGTGCAAAGTCCACGACGTCACGGAATGGTCATACACTCTTTCCACCTCAAAGAGATGGTCATATCCCCTCTCCACCTCAATGTGATGCCAAAGCTGATTCACCTCCTTCCCGAGCTCATAATGCCGAGAGAAAACAAGTGGAAAGAAGGTGGCTACAGACTAAATCGCACCTCGCGCCGTCAATACTGCTCTAAATTTTTTTTTTTTGTCAAATTTAGTGTTTTACAAACATGTCCAATACTTTAAAAAAAAAAATTTTTTTTTTCCTTTTCAGGGTTTTTTTAAGAGCCCTTTGGTAGCCCCAACTTTACAACAATCCCAATTCTCAAAATTTGTTGACTTGACAAGTTCTTTTAGTAATACTCTACATCCAGTAAGCCTCTCGGAAGACAAAATGTTACCTAATTTTGTTACTCGACTCCGTGATTCCGGTTAAATATGCTTGCATAGGTAATATAGCAGCAATATTATGGAACACGCATCATATGCAGTTCCTGGTACATCTAGGAAGCCACCTCTGTGGCAAAGATGTTGTTTCGTGCTCTCTGTAATGCAATGGCATTTCAGCCACGGTATGTAAACAAGACATGCAGGCGGATACGAGTTGAAGGCGTTAACCAGTATATACTCAATGTGAGCTCTCCCGTTTATGTGTTGAAGAGATGAATGCCCTGGAAAAAGGTTCTATACTCCGTTTCACCTTGCGACGAGCCGCAGCAGATACTACGGGTCACCTGAGCCAGTCCAAGGGAGTGTTACGTGAACTTGGAGAGGGGACACAATGATGGGCAAAAGCGTATCACGTGTTAATTCGCTCCTACCGTCCACTGTCGTCAGACGTAAGGTGAAACGGAGTATAGAGACATACACTACAGCTGTGGCTCTCATCCATTGAAGTTTCAGGGAACTGGAAGAAGTGGTGAGAGTGTTGTAAATTACATGATACGAGAGCTCTGTCATTGGCCCCAATATTTTACTTTGTTTTGCTTACAACCGCAGAACTCGCGCAGGCCGACAGCGCCGTCGTGTAGACGAATGGTGCAATATCGGTGCGTTGGGTTCGAAGCCTGGGGGAGCAAATAGAAGTTGGGAAATATTAAAACTCCCAATCTCGTTTGTTGAGTCTCCTTAACAGTGCCGTCCACTCTTGGGACAACTGGTGCAGTGTAGACCTCGAGGACAGCAACAGCGAGCCAACTTCCCTGCAAGGCATTGTGGAAAATCGGCAACCGAACGTGCAGTTTTGACAGGGTACATGCCATTTCTGCTGCTGCTCCTGTACCAGTCGTTATGGACGTCGTGTTGCCCCGTCACAAAAAGACGCACATGGAAGAGAAGCCCTTCAACCGTTGTGTCCGTTCAAGAGTATTTGCTCCAAAGGCCCACTTGCACCACCACACGAGGACTTGCATGCGTAAAAAGCCATTTCGATGCGATGTTTGTCAGACAGCATTTGCACAAAGTTCCAGTGCAGCATGAGTGGCAGAGCCTTCGCACACCGTTCCTGCCTGCTGGATCATCAGAGAATCCGCCAATGTAAGCAGCCTTAAAAGTATGGGGACTGCGAACAGTTGCACGGGATAGTCGCATAAACAAGTATGAGAAGGGTAAAGGAGGAAAATATGTTGCATAATACTTGTGGCTTGTTGGGAATACATGTTTAGACATTTGCGGTGTGGTTCACTGCATGTCCATTATTTGTTTGGCTCGGCAGGAAAGCCAACTCTATAATGGAGTTTTGTCGGTCGTGTACATTATCAGCTGTTGCCACTCTGAACTGCAGCACCTCTGCTGCACCATTTTTTTTTTTTGTTCCATTATTGATCATCATTTTACAGAACTTACTAGCTTCTAACTTGGGAATTCTTTTTGTTTGAGAATACATCAAGCTCCTTTGAGCACTTTATTATGACTGGATGAGGTGAAGTTGAGTTTTGCTAAATGCAGTTTTGCTTTCTACAGGCTGACCATGTATGAAAAGCACCTCTTCAAATACCCTCCGATTTCCCTATGTTTGAGCCTCTAGTTGTGCCACTGTTGGAGCTGCAAAACATTCCTCCATGTTCAATTGTATTGCCAATATTGTAAAACTTTTCCGTGGTCAATTTAGTAAATTATGAATAAATTGCTTTTCTTTTTTTGTGCACATTATAGCCTTATTGCCTCGTTCCTCTGCTTGGTAAGCATTCAACAAACAGGCATGCCAAGCAACCTTTTTTTATGTCTGGATATCACGAGCTAACGGTGGAGGTACTACACCACTTAAATTATCTGCATTTTTATCCGTGATAAATGTGATCAAATATTTCACCCATATCATTGGGCTCACTGAGATCCTTGGTCCATTGTGCAAAATACTCCAATAAGGCTTTTTTTTTCATATAGTTTGAGTTGAGTCTTTTTGCTCTAGAATATAGAGTACCATATTCTCCGGGCTATAGTCCATGGACTATACATGTTTAAAAGTTGAAATTTAAGGCTGTGTGGACTTATCTACGCTTGCGGACTATACAGAAATTTTATTTTTCAAGGTCGTTCATAACGTTGACAAGTGCTGAAATGGCAGAAAAAGAAAGTGCACTTGCGGTCCGTGGCGGGGCCACGGATTGGTTGGGATGTGGTGTGGTGACGCAGTGTGTATCTCTGCCGAGGCTCTTGGATTAAATCAGTTGATAGCGCTTTGTGGAGTCTGTTCTTCCTCCGTCCTTGTCTTAAAGCACAATCATCTTTTCTCACGTTCATTATGACCAGACGTGACGGATCTTGCGAAGGAAAGGGTATGTAAATGAGGATTTAGGTATAATACAGGCTTCTTTGTGAGCTAAGAAAGCAGACATTTGTCAAGGTGTACTGTGTATACAGGCTTCTTTGTGAGCTAAGAAAGCAGACATTTGTCAAGGTGTACTGTGTATAAGATTTGGGTGTGGACTAAGCACCAAATGCGGACTATGCGCGGCGTGCAGACTATCTAAGGCAAAACTCTTATTTTTGACCCCAAATTTGCCCCTGCGGGCTTTACACCGGGTGCGGACTATAGCCCGGAAAATACAGCACATGTCTTGAGGGCCATAGTGTTTTGGGGGCATAGCTGTAGTTCAAAAATCAACTAGGGTTTAATAGACCTACTGTTCTGGTGGTGGTATTCTCAAAAGACTTTTCTTGTGCAAGAGTGTATGAAAGACGTGTGTCAGTCTGGAGGCCATTGCTTCTAAAAGTTCATGCTTTGCTTCATCTATTTCGTGAAAAAGGCTGTGTCCCTCCAGAAGACCTTTAGCGACAGCACCGTGGATATGTTTTAACGAAGACCGAAAAAATTCCCCCGGTATAGTGGTTGAATCCTCAAGCTTTTGCATCGCCAGCCTTGAGCCTGCTGCACAAGTAAAAACTATAGTACACCCCCACGCATCACACATGCTTCAAGCCTTCCTAAAATATAAGGGTTTTTAATGATGCTAAGCAAGTTTCTAACTGCAACCATGTTTATTTTCACTTTAAAGTTTATAAATTTTAGTTAATCATCTCCGCTAATTAGTATGTTTTTAATATTTTAAAGTCTTTGCTGAAACACCCGGTATAGGAGGAAGGGAAGTAAATGAGTCAACTGAGCTTGACACGCCTCCTGTTTTTTTTTCTTTGACCCAGTTTCTTTTTTTTTTTTTCTTGGCGGTCTCGAAGTTTACACAATATGATGAATTTCTAAATTTCTGTGCAAGGCTTCAAAGCACCCACAGAAACAAAAATGAGCCTCAATCATTATAGCTTGTGGCCACAATAGTGCAAGTTGGATCGGATCAGTCAAACTAGGGCATACAGAGGATGCCCATCTAGTATTTGATTTTTGCAAAGCACAACCAGTTTTATCTTAAAAATGTTTCTTTGCTTTCGCCATCCTTATTTGTCCATATTGTTGGCGGCTTGGTTTTTTTGTAATGTACAAACGACATGCCAGTACATTTATGTATGCAAGTTTGTGGAAAAGGCCATGTGCATTGCTCGTGCAGTCCCATATTTGTTGGTGTTGGAACCCAAAGAAACTAGCAGCCTCTGTTCAATCAGTTTTAAATTTAGTTCATATTTAATGTAGTTTAGCATGCAAACTTCTCCAAATTTTGTTTAATTGAACCATAAATGACACACTCTGTTTTCAGTCTCAACAAATACATTTTGAATCGAGTTTGGTATGGCAGATGGTAGATCATTGATTTAGTGACTGTCCAGAAAAACTAAATAAGGTTTGTGAGAAGAGAGCTACTATGCAAAGCTTGTCATGAAAAAGCTTGATTAGTTCAAACTTTGCTGTTGTGGAGAGCACCACTTTTCTGAGAAAACACGCCAGATTAGCAGGACATAGACCAATCACTTTGGTAGAAATGCATTCCAGAATGCACCGTTTCCTAGGCAGGTTTCTTATGCTTCCATGAGATGAGGTGATCAAGAGTTAAAATATTGTCATTAAATTGAATTTATGAGTCTCCACAAATGTGCACAACTTCTGAGTTTGAAGCAACTTGAGAAACCTGCAAGTTGCGCTGTAGGAGTTAAGGTCCAAACCTGTTTGAATGCTTGGAACAAACATTCACACTAAAATCTCTTCAAAGTTTGTGTACCTGAAACAAATGAAAGAAACTCAGTTTTTCCAACCGTAGCTGTTTTTCTACAGGCAACTCTTTCGTGAGTTTTTTTGTTTTGTTTTTTCTGTTATAGGTAAGAGTTGGTTTAAAGGGGTACTCCACAAATTTTTTGGGCTACCTCAACTAACTATATATTCTGACTCCCCGGCCTTTAGCCTTTCCGGTATGCTATTTGGTATCGCGAAATTCATAATAATTATTGTGAAAACGGCAAATGAAAATGATGCAAAAACCAACATTCAAATATACGCACACTTTTCAGTATTGCGACGTCAGTGGCAGGCAGGCTTGCCAGTCGAGCGAGCAGCGCGGGTACTGGAGGGAGCTTCGAAAGCATTCATTTGACACCATGAAACTGCTTTGAATCAATTGGTAACAACTTCTACAGTCCAAAGAGTGAACCCCTGCCTTCCACTGACGTCACTTTTTTGTTGTTGCCAGTAGAGACTTTCTGCTGGAAAAAACACGGTGAGGACCAAAACTGTAAATTCAACAACTTTGCGAAAGAACAATATTTTGACCCAGTATTTGGGGTACTATTTTAGCGATGTTTGTTGGTTAGTTTAGCAAAATTTCAAGCAAATCGGAGACAATGAAAAAATCTGTGAAGTACCCCTTTAAGCACTCCCATTTTGTATTCATAGGTTCTTTAACTTGATCGAGAGATCAAGGGAGTTACAAGCCACAAATGGTTCATCAGGTTTTGAGTTTTGCTCACAGTGTTTTCCGTACCAGACTTAAAAATAATATAGCTACCCTCAAACAATGTACCTTCACAAACTTTCAACGGCATAAACATTGTACAGCACTGCTAGATTATCTTGCACCCACCCACATTTTATAGGCATCATGTTTTTCTGTCTGTCCCCCAGGCAGGCTAAAGTGCTTTGTCCCAGATGGCAGGTTCTGGATGTCTTCCCAAACCTGCGTGATGATGCTTCTTTTTGGACGTTTCTTAATAGCTGTGTGAGGACATGCTGTGGCTGGTATTAGATTTTATGCAGTTGTTTTGGTATGGTACTTCAGGTACTAAAGTTGCAATGTGAAAGTAAAAGGTGTAGCCAAACTATTAGGGACAGATTTCCCTTAACTTCTGTGGTGTGCAACTGCTTCAAGGCTTTTCACTCAGACCTATTAAATAATCATTTTAGTACTTATTAAATTATTATTAATTGTTCATTGGGGAGCAGCCTAGTAAATAAATTTCAATTGGGGCTTCACTAGTTTTATATTTGTAAACTGTGCACTTGCACTGTAGGTATAAAAGATGATGATAGGCATTATCGTGCAAAAAACAAATGCTCTGAAGTGCAAATTTGAAGTCACAAGTATCGTGTTTATTAAGATACATGCATAATCTGGCAAGTTGCACATCATGTGAATCAGGAAAGTAATTGCAACACTTTTATTTTTTAAGTAATTTTCCTGTAACTTTTGATGTAATCCAATAAAATACTTTTTTTATTTGGAGTTACTGTATTCGAAGTAAACTGCTCTGCCTGAGTGACATGGACAGTGCTAGTTAGAGAAAATAATCGTCACCTTCAAAAATATACCGTAAAATTCTGAGAAAATGTGAACCCAAAGGTTGGAGATATTTTTGAAAAACTGGGGTATATATGTGATTCTAAGGTCAAAAAAAAAATATGTGAAAGGGAACTCAAGGCAGGGTGGACCTCACTGCTTGGCACCGACGTGTGACGTCGAGCTGCATTGCATTGCACCGGTGCAGTTTGAACAATGGCTACCACGAAGAAGCACCTTGGTTAGCCAAGCGTTCTCGGAAGTCTAGGGTGAATGCCCGATATGTCCTTTTCTCATTTTTGAAACGTTTCAAAAGCAGCGGATGGGCACTTATTGGGACGAGGGCGAACACTCTGTATTTTATGGTAGGCCTTTCTGGGTGGCAACTGACTCACTGTCGACATAACATTTATCGAAATGGTTAGTGCCGCGCGCACACAACTACCTTGTTCCATGGGACATGTAACAGCAGTAGATCAGTATCACCCTGGTTGATAACCTTTTCCTTATTCAAACGAAGACAAACCACAACTTATTGAGTAGAACGAAATGTGTTGCTTGCTTTCAATTACTCTTTCAAAGCTTTATTGACAGTACCCACCAATGTAATGGCATGTGCCCATTTTCGTGGTGCACAATTTAATACATTAAAAATTGGCAGCGACGTTTAGTTCTATAATGCATCAAATGTGGTATTTAGGAGTGATTGCTTCAATTGTCCGAAATACATTCTGCGGTCATTCCGGTACCGAAGAACATTCATTTTTATCAATTTTAGGGAAACTGAATTGGTGTAACGTGACCATGAAAGGGGTGGGGAGGCAACTGGAAAGCGAGAGGACACTAGGGCGGTGAGGGGAGGAATTCGGGAGGGAAAAGAGGAATGGGGAAACTGAATTTGTGGCACATGACAAAAGACTGGAAGGGCACCGTCAGACAATGGGGAAGAGATGGGGAGGGAGGTAGGGATTTGGAGGTAGGTGAAGTGTGAGCAAGGGAAAGGGATGGATGGAAAGGACACCGTAGGAGAGGAAGGATGGGGAGAAAAAGGAAGAAAGGATGGGCAGAGGAAAAGGGGGGGATGCAAAGAGAAGGAATTGGTGCATCATGGGGACATATTTCCTGCTAAATTTAGCAGAAAAACTAGATTGTTGTATTGTTGTTTAGGTCCCGTGACATCACTTTTTAGTGTTAAACTTGGCAGCGAAACTGAATTGATGTTTAGGTCACGTGATGTCAATTTTCCCGCTAAATTTATCGGGAAAACTGAACAGGTGCTTAGGTCACAAGAGGTTATTTTTCCTGCTAAATTTAGCAGGGACATTGAATTGATGTATGGGTCACGTGACTTCGACTTCTCCACTTGGTACATAGGTCATGTGACGTTAGGTCCCATGACATTATTTTTTTAGCTAAATTTAGCAGAAAATGCTCAGATGGACAAAAGGCTGGTATTAAAAAAATCAGTTTAAATGCTTTAAAAAGAAAATGATGCAGTATTCAAAACGGGCAAAGCACCAAGATCGTGCTTAGACAAAGGTACACAACAAGACAATTCCTAAATTGCATCAGGATTTCAGCTGCGTGTAAAATACGCTGATTTCCTGGGAGGGTAGAACACCGCACGCCATCTGAATACACGCTTTGGCAAACGATAGAGAAACAGAATGGTCCCAGAGCACTGCACAATAAAGCGATGGCTTGAACCAGAGTGGCAACCTTTCTGACTGGCGATCGTCAGCCATCTTTGAGCAGGAAGAAAAACAGCATTAAACACTTCAAATGTTTACGCGGGAATATCTGAACGATTGGCTAGATACGGTCGGCAAAAAGGCAATAAACTTGTTGGTTTTCACAAGGGCTTTCAATATCAAGTAGACCGTAATCTAGTCCACAAAAAAAATATCAGCTTGTCAGCCTGCTGACGGGCTAGCATGCCAGTATTGCTTGTCCCGATTCGACATAACTGCACGAGGCAACCACTTTGAAATCGTTACCTGGCACTGCGAGGCTGTTTTGAAATGAAATTTAGGAGTACCCTGGGAACATTCAGTGGCCCCGAAAGAGATGTCGTCAACGACCTCAGCAATAAAAAAGCGCAAGAAGCAAAAAATGGAAGCTGTCACAAAACACTAAGTCCATCGCCATAAGCAAAAAAACCCCGGAGCGGCAGTGTGCGGGGAATGTTACGTCTATATTATGCGCACTCCACCTGCGCTGCCTTCCACCCCTCTGGCAGCGGGCCGTGCACAACGCCCGAGAGCCTTTCCATCACATGCTTCCGCTTCCGGTGGAATGTGAGGTGATACTTGCGCGTGAACGCCCTCCCGCAGCTCTCACACTTGAAGGGGCGCTCGCCCGTGTGTGTCCTCACGTGGTCTGCCAGGTTCGAGCTGTTCCCAAACGCCCGCAGGCAGGTGGTGCACTGCAGCGGCTTAATGCCCAGGTGCACTCGCTTGTGGTGCGTCCGCACGTGCTTGCCCTCCCGAAAGGCCTTCCCGCAGACACCGCACGCGAACGGCCGCTCCCCCGTGTGGGCCTTCAGGTGGCTGGTGAGGAAGCGCTTTTGCTTGAACAGCCTCCCGCACAGGCCACACCGGAAGCGCCGCTCGAACACGTGGCTACGCATGTGCAGCCGCAGGACGGCCTTGAAGGTGAATGCCTCGTGGCAGACCTCGCAGCTGAAGCGCTTCTCCCGCGCGTGTATCTTCTGGTGGGCGGTGAGGCAACTCCGCAACGCAAATGCCACGTGGCACGTCTGGCAGGCAAACGGCGTGTCGCCCGTGTGCATTCTTTCGTGCTTCGAGAGCTCGGTCTTCCAGCGGAACGTGCGGCGGCAGAAGCGGCAATGGAAGGGCTTCACCTCGGTGTGCATCATCTCGTGCGTCGTAATGTTGGTCTTGTAGCGGGTTGAGTATGAACAGAAGCGGCACTGGAGCCTGTCGTCCTTTTCTTGGCACGTGCTCTGTCCGTGTTTGGAGGGCAGCTCAGGCGATGGACTGTGACTGGTGCCCTCGTTCTTCAGGGGGTCGGAGGATGTCTCGACCGGCTCTGTTGAGAAGGCACAACAAGATGGATCATACCTTTCCCTACAGATATGCAGTGAGCTAAGGTGTCTATATTTTTGTAAAGGCCTGGGGTAAGAATAATTCTGCAAACTATCGCCCAATCTCAATAAACCTTGTGTTTTTCTAAAGGCTCGAAAAAACGACAGTCACTTTTTCATGGCCATAGGGAAAAGCACTCTCATCACTAATTCACGTTTTGGAGCACGCAGGAAAATAGAAACTGCACTTTTGGTTCAGGTGGAAGCTATCCTTGATATGTTGAAAATCATATAGTGACCTTGGTCATTTTGTTAGATTTCATCATAGGTCACTTCCTTAAGGCCTCCAAGGAGTGCCAGTGTCAAAGTCGTACATGAAGTTCCATTGCCAATTCATCTCTATCTGTCAAACACCATACACCTCAAAATTCAAATCTTCAGAAGTTCCCCGAGGCAGTATTCCTGGTTCTATGGCATTTATTTTATATATAAATAATATGGTACACACCGAAGAGCCTGCTCACTTGGTTATTTATATTGACAATACAAGTATTTACTTTCGTGATATCCATTAAACAGTCTCGTCAAAGAGCAAATGCTGTTGCTTCAAAATCAAAAACTAAACTAGAAGCCAAGGCGGTATATTTAGACCTAGAAATGTTCATGTGTGCTTATCATATCTGCAGTGGTGGAACTGACAAGTGGTGATTTGAAGCAGCTCCTGTAGCATAGAAAAACTGGTTTTGGAGCAGAGATTTGGAGCAGAAACTTTTGGAAATGACAATTTTGAGCTTTCATGTCAGAAAATTTTAAACAATCTCGTGAAAAAAACAGCACTTGTTGGAATGTTGGGAGACTAAGGTGTCATATTTAAAGGGGACCTGACCTCTACAGAACAATATAATTATAAGAGATCCGTGGAAATAGGCACGATTGATAAGCTGATTACAAACACACAGCCAGAGACGCTTATATTGGCGAGGAGCGTTTCTAGTATGATGATGCTCCATGGTGATCTTGGCGCGACTGGTTTAGAACAACCCTCTGGAAGCTTCGAAGATGTATATAGACCGAAATAACGATTTCCATGGAAACGTAGACAGATTACCCAATCGCGTCGCAATTTTTTTTGGTTGCGTGTATGTTAGTATCTGTTTGTGTCCGGCTAGCAGGTAGGGAAGGCAATGGCGCTACTTTCCCAGGATTCAGTGATTTTACTGAGAACTAGTTATGTTGGCGTCATGGATGCTTGGAGTGCTTAGTGAGATAGGTCTATGGCGGGACCAAATAAATGCGAAATTCTAGGGGAAATGATAGTTGATAATATTATCAAACTTATTTTAAGCACATGGTGAAAGAATGGTGCGTAAAATTAATTACGGAAGTCGGAAGTGTTCCAGGGATTTCCAATAGATGGCACCAGTGTGGTTTGGAAAGAGATGACAGAAATAAAGATACTCCAGTCTGCTCCTTCGGTAGCACTGCAATCTTAAAACCAATTTAAAATAAATGAACAAGGTAAATGTAGACTAAAAATAACACCTATTTAATGCCAATTAAAAGAAGACAAAAATAGCCGTACTTCATTTCATTTTCAAGAGGCCATTAAAATTTTTGTACTGTCACTAAATACTACTCAGAATCACTCACTCACATTTATAAGCCACTAAACTTGCCTTAGTCTTTCTTTCGAAGCAATGGCAGTCGTCAAATAATTAAAAAACTATGAGCATCGTTCACCCCCTCAACTCTGAGCCAGAACAAGCGGTCACGTGGACTGGTGCCTATCCCATGCCGCCAACTTGAGTCAGTGAATGAGCTACGCTTGGAGTATCGGCACTCTGCCCCCGATGTTGTTGTGGGCGCCACCATGTTGGTGCCCAGTGCAGAGCAGACGCAACTGCCTATCGTCATAATTCAAAATTGCGACTTCTGCAGCATAGATTCAGTGTTAGGAAGATCATGTAACCTTGCTTTGCTCGGTCGCCAACTGCTGAAACATTTGCGGGTGATAAAAAAGCGTTTTCTGTGATTTCAGATGAAGGCACGCGGGCGGGCACTTATAACACAATTCTGTATGAGGGGGAGGGGGGTGAGGAGGCCCCAGCAAAATAAGACTTTGGGGGGGGGCGGGCCCTGCTGAATAATTATTGCAAAAAGAAGTAACAAAAAAACTACAGACGACGACAAGAACGGAGGGATCAAGGGTGACTAGACAGCGACTGGAACGAACATGTAATTATTATACATAAACCCTTTTGTCTTAACGAACTCGCTACATTTAATCCTCTTAATGAAGAAACATAACAGGCCCCATGGTCCTCCCCTGACTCTCGTGCTGTCAGTGAATATAGCATTACGTCAGCCTAGTGTCTGGCTAGAGTTGAAGAAGCATCAACTTATTCTAAGTAAAAATCGCAACTTCGCAGTTTCCTCACAAATAGGCTGGCCGCACATCTTTGGCAACGGTAGGAGAGAGGACTGTGGGACCAGTGGGACAGTCAATATAATTCTTCGGCGAATAGTTTTAACAAGTTGATGAACTGCTAGACTGATGGTGCCGTGGCAACGGTACTTTCAACTGTAATGGTGTACCTGCTTGGCGTGGTGTAAACGATCCGAGTCAGTGCTTGCCACTTCAGCACTCAAAACTAAGTAGCACCAGAGCCGTTTATACTGAGAGAGTTTGGCCTTCTTAAGGAGATTTTGGCAGTCTGACAACCACAGCAGCGTAGTCTGACAACCGGGGGATGACTACTTCCGTCCGCCATATTGTGGATCTGCCTCATAGGAACCCTACGCGATTTCACAGGAATGAACAAGACAAAGAAGTAACGCCATATTCTGTTATCGCGAAATCCGCTGGTTCTAGCGGCCAACAAGCTCCGCCCATCGGCCAAACTCTCTCAGTATAAACGGCTCTGAGTAGCACGCATTCGTTTTCCTCGATTCTTGAACCAAAACGATTTAGCCAACGGCTGTAGTAAACTAACCTTGAAAAGATGTGTTAATAGCTTGCTTTGAACCACCACCATTTAAAGCTTAACATCTCACCTGTTGCCCTAATTTGAGGTTTAGGCCACCAATTACAGTATAGACCACTTACAACATAACCGCTTCTAGTGCAAGACCGAATATAATGCGGCTTTTTTAAACCACCGGTTCGCCTCACACAGAACTCCATGTAATTACATACCGCTTTAAAATGCAGGCGCGCGAAGGGAAATACCGGTTATAGTGCGGTTTCTGGAACAGCCCGCCGACCGCACCGACTGACCGGCGCAGCGAGCACGCTTCCCTGTGCGACACTAGATAATGGCGCTAGCCGCAAGCGGCACTCGCGGGCAAGGAGGTTGCTCGAAGAAGCGGGGAGAAGCGAAGAGGGAGGCTTCAGTTGCCATAGCGACGGAGGGACGCATGCACGTGTCGTTCACGTGCGTGCGTCCCTTTGCAGTTCGAGGAGAAGTGTTAGCGCGCGTTGCATGCCGGTCGCGGGCCGGCTGCTTCTATCCGCAAACATGGCGTCAGTTGTGATCGTCGACATAGACGGCGTCGTGGAAGCTCATCGTTCCGCGTAAAAGCGCTATCCTTGACAGTGAATCTTCGTTGTGTGTGGCTATGATAACCCAGCACGTACTAGAAGGGAAGATCCACCTACTCATGCGGCGATGTTGTGGCGGCACTTTCAAGAGGGCAGAAATGCCCATGTTGTCGTGTTTGTTTACTTCGTGGTGCTTTCTAAGCATTTGTGTTTTCGAACATCGCCCTGATTTCTTATTTGGAGCATTTCGTGCCTCTGGTCAAGTTGAAGGCATTACTGGCGCGTACCGTATAAAGGATGCGAATTTTTACGCGTTTTCATCGTTGGAGAAAAGTGATTAGGGTTAGCAATCCTGAACGCTCGCAACGTCCGTCCGCAACCCGCGACGTTGTTAAAAGGCTGCACTTGAGAGAGAAGTGTGCTAGTCTGGTGAAATAAAGACTTTCCTCAAACTAAGCTTTATTTTTCATCTGACATAAAATAAATGCTTTTACAAGGGTAAGTTGTCTGATGGCATGTACTTTGGCCTGAAAAATTTATGTTTTGTTTATAGCGCTGTACCGCTTATACACCAACTCATGTTTACAAACAAACCGGAGCGCCCGGAGCGCCCCTAGCGGACGCCACCGGCGCCGCGCATGCGCGATGGGGGTGTGGGCAAAAAGCTCGCCGTCGCCCATAAACAAACTATTGAAATGCGATGTTGTCGGCATCGGTGTGAGTCTCCCTGCCCTTTTTTGCGTTCGAATTGTTGGTTCTACGTCTTCCTGGCGATGTCTGACTATCTCGAGCGGGTCAGCGAAATTACCGAGGCTCGTTATACCGCAAAACTTCGCGTGAATAATGTGACATGTGGCGATTCATTCCGCGTGGACGCCGCAGATTGTATTCTAAAACCTGATTCGCATGATGAGATTTCGCTCGGAATTTTCAGTCGCGACGCCCCTCGGGCTGCGAAAGCGTGAACCGTAGCTGATATGGCCGACGAAGATACTGAAAATCGCAAGCAGAATCGGATCAACTGAATTAGGCATAACAAGTCGGTGTTGGCCACTGGTAACAATGACCAACATCTCCTTGTATCTACTGTTTACATCGAGCCTGCTTACCAACCTTCAAATTTAAGTCTTTTGAGGCCTGCACTCACTTGTTATCGCAAGTACCGGGCCAACATTTGGTCTACGGACCGGCGTCGTCTAAAAGAGCAGACGACAAGCTGAAACGTTTGAAAGAGCAGACGACAATTCGAACGATCAGGCGGCCGTTTGAACTTAAAGACGCACTGAACGTAGTCCACAGGTGGTCCGCACGACTTGACAGTTTTCTGGCGTTCATGTTGGAACGAAGGAATAAATCTGATGACCACAAGTATCCGTGAATTCAACCCAAAATGCTTCCCGCCCAAGCAATCGTTGTCCGACGGCGTCTGCTTTTCCCTTTTCACGGCACATATCCAGATTCTCGGACGAAACGAGCACGTGAAAACTGACCTTCAAACCTTTCTCAACACTTTTGGTACGTCCCCAGTCGCGGCGTTTTGACGAGAAGGCAGGTTTTTGTCTGGTTCCTTTCAAACAACGCAGGAATACACGTCTGGCATGGGGACTTCTGCCCACAGCCCCAGACCGGAAGTGCGACCGACGCGCCACCACCGCGCCGTGACGTCACAGAGATGAGTTCGTGTATAGTGCGGATTTTCGCAACTCCCGCGACATACGTTATATGCGGTCTACACTGTATTTTTTTTTTTTTTAAAAAGTTAATTCCTAGTCCAAAATTACCGACAATTTGAGGAAAAAAGATGACTGCAATCAGACTTGATGTCTGATGAAGATCTATGTGCCTATAGTCTTCACTAGTACAAATTGTAGTGCAATCTTGCATGTGTCCTATTCCTCCCGAGGGGGAAGGTGGGATAAAACACATTTCCGTTACTGCAATTTCTCTTCTTATTTTTACATTTTTAGAAGAGTTAGGACAAAGTAATCTTCAGCAGATGTGAAGAGACTTTCACCCTACATTTAGGACCACAAAGCTTGTTTCTATATGCCCATTAAACTACACAAAAAAATTATAGCGTGAAAACTGTCCCATTCGTTCCCTACTCTCCCCTACACCAATCTCAGGTTACGAATTCGAGAGTGGGGCTTACCTTCCTTGACTGGGGGACCGTCCTGCGGGCACACCTTGGGTTCCTCCGGAGAGGACGGCGGGCTGCTGTAGTCATCGAACTGCAATCCCACGCCGGTCGAAGCGACAGGCAGAGCGAGTGGAGGTGCCTCCGGCTCTGTCGGGCAAGGAGCATGAGGATTTCGGCTGGCAGTTTAAACAACATAAACCACTACTGTCAACCGTAGAGCGAGTGTTCACCCAAACTTTGGAGATAATCATAAAAAGGGTGGGGGAAAGGCACTTGCTAGATTCAAGTGCAAAAAATGCAGAAGGAGCATGTGATGGCGTGGGCTTCACTGCTGCTCACCAAAAGTCTGGGAGGTGTGGCTGACATGCAGGAATCAACTGGCATAAATTTACAAGGTACCCATTCACCGAGGCACTTTATGCGGTGCTGCGAAGCACACGTTGGCCAAAGGCACTTCCTTTTTAGAGAGAATGGAACAAAGGTCAATTTATTTCCTAACCAGAGCGATTGTGGGCCTGGCCAAAGCGAATCCCGCACAGCAGCCTGAAACTGCCTTGTCGCATGGGCACTGGTAGAGACTGTACTTTGCTCTATTTTAAAACATTTCCCAAGCAGCGGGTGGCTGCTTGTGACATAAGGTAGGAACATGCTGGTATTTTATAATAATGGAAGCATGGTAACCACCTTATCTTTTTTTTTAATTGGAGAAAAAACGAAATGTGCAGAGAAAACTTCATCGCCAATCCAACAGTTTTTTTTCTTATTTATCCGATTCTTGGCTCGTGTAACCAAAAACAGTGACAACAATATTACTATTAATGAAAAAAACGGTTAAAGTGACAACAATATTACTCTTTTTACATGCCACTGCATGTGTTGCCATTCCCTATGTCTGCTTCACTACCCCACATTTGTTTCATAACAGTGTTTAAAGGGGCAGTCAAACAGTTCTTATAGAAGCTTGTTTTTGATGTCATATTGTTTGTTGGGTTTTAGTCAATAAAAATGGCCAGTTCTAAAGGGCAGGACGTCCTAGTAAACTCTCATCAATAGAAATACACAGGCACTATTCCCCTTTGACGGGAGTCCTCAGGTTCCCACCATCTCCCTAAAATTTGAATAAAAATAGTTATTTGTGTGGTACTTCCGAACGTTACTATGATAGCTCTTTTTAGGCGCGTTGTGCTTTACATTTTGACAAAAACATCAAACCTTTGGGTGTAGGAGACATAATAGAGCACTTATCATTTGAAAATGCCGACTGACAGCACACCCTGGCGCCTGCTTCAAGGCGCAGAAAGAGGGGCGGGGCGCGTCAGAATCTTTGATTAAATTTTAATATGGAAATCGGCAGCCCACGGGCATAATTTCAGTTTTTTTTAGGATGCTTAGAGCCCGTGGACTAAGTTATTACCATATATAGACAATTTCAGCATTCACTTGAGCGCCCCTTAAGGGCTGGCATTCCCCAGGAAAGAGTGGCAGATAGGCACGGAAACCGCAGTGAGATGTGCAACACGTACTTCAGAGGACAGTCTGCACAAAAGAGCGGTAAATTGGGAAGAAAGAACAACATTTTAAGCATGCCCTAACAGGAAATGAATCCAAAACCTCGCAACAGTGAGCTCGATATTCTATTAGTGAGCCAATGGGCGGGTAGACGCAACGCTAGATGGCTTTGTCTCTACCACGGTGATCTTTACTAACCACTCGAATGGAAACATCGATCGTTGGATGCCTTTGTACGTGTTGAAACAGTTTATAAAAAGAAACGACAGATGCAAGGTGTGACCACCATCACCTAAAAAAAATGAGAGTTCGCAAAAAATGACATGCTACACTCGACCCGGATATATTGGATTAGCTTGACGTATCAATAATTGAATATACAAAAATATGCTGAATTAAGCTTGAGTTGAAATTTCCTGGAGTCTCTGCTGACACTGAAGGTCGCGCCAAATGGGAGCTTACCAAATAGAGCATCCAAGAGCCGCTAAATATAGTAGAGCGTAGTTGACCGAAACCGAAAACACCGCCGCGCTTAAGGCCAGACCGCATGTAGCGAGCGACGGTGACAGCAACGAGAGTCAGCGTCGAGTGACGAAAAGTTCTCACTGTTGCCTGTCGCGTCGCTCGGTTTTTGGATTTCTAGAAAGTGCCGCTCATCGCCTTGGTCGCTCGCTCCCGTCACTTTCATGCGGCTTGCCTCCTCACGCGACTGACCAAGCGACAGCGAAGCTGGTCGCCGTTGCTTGTCTTGTCGCTTACCAAATCGCTTGGATGCGGTTCAGCCTTTTTATTTTACACGCGCACCTGGCCAGGGCCTCCACACGGCATAAGTTACAAAACACTAAAGTAATAAAAATAGAAAGAAAAAAAAAGGAAGAAGCCAGACGCATAAAAAGAAATTATAAAAAAAAGCTATGCAACAAAAAAATAATAATAATCTTTCATTTTCCTTTTTTTATTACAAAACAAAAAAAGGTGAAAAACATAGCAAAAAGCTGCTACTGCAGCTTGACGAGGCCCTAAAGAAAGCTCACTCAATTCAGACAGCAAAAAAAAGAAAGGCAAAAAAAAAAAGGCAAAGCTATAAAGGCAAAAGAAAAAGGTAAACAGAGATAAGGCGTTCAAACTGCGATTGCACAACCGTTGTTTTCAACACATTCAACTTGCCAAAGACTTTTTTTCTTTTTTTTGGTCATTTTATTTTGGGGTTAGGGAGTCGCGCAGCATCAGCAGTGTTCGGGGAAAAGGTGCTGGCTACGGTTCCGACAGCAAGCACTCCCTGCTCAGCAAGCACTCCCTGCTCAGCAAGCGCTCCCTGCTCAGCAAGCGCTCCCTGCTCAGCAAGCGCTCCCTGCTCTCCCTATGCATGCGTGCCTGCCCTTACCCTTGCTTTTGCCATCCTCCGATTTTTTTTTTTGTACGGTTATTTATTATTTTTTTTTTTCACAACAGTTTTTTTATTTATGTATGCTGGCTTGGTGGTGTACCAGTCCCGTAACACGAGCTATGTGCTCGCCACCGGCGCGGCACAATGGATTGTGGGAAAAGCAACAGCGCTATATCGTGTGTCTCCGCCATGGGAGTTTGATAAAAAAAGACAATCGTCCTATACTATTTCATGTGATTTTCAAGGGGATGTTTGGGCTGTTTAATATAAACAATAATTTGAAATATCCGAGTGTAATATAACCGGGTTCGACCGTATAACCAAAAAATAAACTGTCGACAGCAAATTTCGAAGAATGCCACGGAGGCAGATTCTGCACGTACCGATTTTAAACATAGGATCAAAATAAATCGGGCATTTTTACCTAAAAACTACTAACTAATTTCGACTTGTTTTTTCCATTTTTAGTTATTCAGGTAGAGGCAGGTTTGAAGCTCCATAAAACTGGTGTCCCTGCTGAAGGTGGCCAAGAAACTCCCTTTTGAAACGTCCCCATTAAACCCATACTACCTTCGTACTCTACTACATCAAGTTGAATTCAGTATTGTAAACGTTGCAAGATTGTGCAAGGAGCAACCCGCTCTTTAATGCAAACCAATGCAAACAGAGCTAGCACTAAGTTTAAGGTGACAGTCCAGAATATGGAAAACATAAGGATGGAACTCTCCCAACCAAACGCAGCCTAAAAACGCAACGTTTGTGGTATTTAAATGCACGCATTAGGTGGTCGATCGCGACAAATAATTCAGTCATGAAACCGAAATTTCTGCATAGTGCAATCTTTTGCTCTAGTCCATTTTGTGTTCTTTAGCATACTACCAATGCCACCTATGTGTTGCGGTGCAATTTTTCGCAAGATTACATTACGGCCGGGTGGCGCAACATTCGATGTACAGCCGTGCCGAATTCTGAGGCGAGCATTCTTTGACTGCCATCTCCGAATGACTCCCAAAGTTTGATGGAGAGTATTCAAAAGCATCAAAATAATATTGGTAGGGAGTTATAAAATAGCAAATGCAAAAGCTTTGCATATGTAAAGAAATAGCGTCGTGACCACTGCACGTGCGCCAAACATGTTTTGACCTTTGCGTGCATGCACTGATTTTTGGAAATTGCACATGTATGCGAACTAGCCAAAAAGATTTTGCGTTTCTCTCGCAAGGCAGCGAGCAGAGTTAGAAAATGGCAGCTCTCAAGACTGGTTGCCGTGAATGCTATGTCAGCGGCGTCCTCGTCATTGCAAGTTTCAATACAAGACGACATTGATCTGCTACGGGAGGTGCACGTCACAAATGGTTCGGAAGACCCAGCAAGGTGGGCAATGATCGCTGGCAACCCGCCGCTTGCAACATGCAAACACTTTTCGGTGAGGGTCAGCATATGAGACCTCTCTTGCCGAGGCGTTGCGGGCAGACACGACCGGACGCCCACTCGTTTAGCATTGTCACGTTTAAGCAAATGTAAAATACTAGTCAAGACCACAAGCTTGTTTCTTTTTTTTTTTTTTTTCGCAAGTTACAGCATTTTGAGCAGGAAATTAAAATGGTTACTGTACCTTGCTGGCAATGCAAGCGTGAGATACTTCGGCTTTGTGTTGCAATGGAGACACTATTCGAAAACTCTCTCGTATAACATGCACGAAAATTGTGCATGTCATTCTAGAACTCCGCAATAGCTATCTTAATATGGGATGTAAAATATTGAAACAACCATGTTTTGACAGAGGACGCCAAATTATCAGAACAGATATATTCGCATCTTTAAAAAGTGACATCACGGACACAAAAATAATGTCATTATTTTGATGATGGAAGTCGAAATAGCCACTGCCATTACCTATACACAAAGCCTCTGCGTAACTATACAGTTTGCTTCACTTCAGCTGCTAGCAAAGCTGAAGCTACTAACACGGGCATGTTTCCCCGAACGATGCTTTCACTTTAAATGTGAGCATAGCTTCCACTATGCTCACATTTAAAGTGAAATGAAATATATAGCTGCAACTCGAAAGAGAGAGGCAACACTGGCCCCTACCTTCTTTCACTGGACACTGCTGGTGGCTGCCCAAAAGCAGTGCCGACATGAGCAGGCTGCCTTGGGGCCCGGGGACGAAGCTCTCGGCTACCGGAGCAGACGGCATCTCCTCAGACTCTGTTGACCAAGCAGACAGTGGGATTGGATTTGTCAACCGTGCAGAAAGCAGCATACATGTACAACATTTTTTTCCAGGTAATTTTGTCGATGTGACGCAGCATGCTACAAGCTAATTTGGTACACTCTCTAGACTCAAGACAGTCCTAGACTAGAGCACACTTTAGCTGACGAGAATGCACTGAAGCTTTCCACTGAATCAAGAAATTATGAAATGAAAACTAGACTGGCGGGATTAAAACTCAGTCCATCCATGTGGGAGCCATTTACACTGACCACCCAGCAACCCAGGCAGCACTGTAATCTGCAGATCATGCCTAAAAGTGGAAATTTTGTGCAGTGCAGACTGCGTGTATCTACAGGTGCAGACTATACAAAGATGTCCTTTTTTTCGCAAGTCCGTTCATTATTTCGAGATGCGATAAATTTTGTGAGTGACAGACTATGCTAATGATGATTTCTGTATGATCCAAGCTTCGTTTTGCAATAATAGTGCAGGCCTTTTCAAGGTCTACTGCACAGAAAAAGTTTTATGTGCAGAATATGCGCCAGGTGTGGGTTATGCAGATCTATCTATCTACCTAAGGAAAAACTTTTTCTGCCAAAATTTGCTTTTGTGGACAATTCCCCAGTGCAGGGAAAATACGACACCGTCACAGACGACATGCGCATGAACAGCCTGCAACAGTTCTTTGGCGTAGCAACCGGGTCTTGAAGCAGCCCTGGTCCAGACCAGGTTTGGAATGCTGAGTTTAGGTTCGAGCTTCATAACCATCGAAGAATTATTTAGAGATAAGCGAGTCGAGCCATCTACTGCGGCTCTTTTCCTCGGCTCCCGGCATCGCATAGAACGAAAAATGAACTTTTTGCCTCGAAAACGGAGGAGACTGCAGGCAAAGCAAAAGGGCTGAGCTTTGCACCTTACACTGTCAAAGGCAGAGTCCCACGTCTGCCACGGTGAAAAACCATACTCTAAAGCCGCGGCCATTCTGCTCGTACATCACAGACGTGACGACGGAACCATTTTGCGAACACCCCCCTCAACCGTATTCGATGCATGTTTGCTTCGTACGCAAGTTTGCTTCGAACGTGTCTGCAGAGCTTTTGTGTGACCAACGTGACTGCCGTAGGAGAAAGAAGCGTGCCTCGGACAATTTCTGCAGACTGTCCTCTGTTTCATGTATTACCAGCGTGAATGCGGCTTAAGGGGGTTTGTGCTACAATATTAGGTATGAATGTTTTGTCACTTTACACAACCTTACTGGTACTCCTAGGACTCAAGTATACTCTTGTCCAACACCACTGACCAAGAGGCTTCTCTGTCACCGCACAACCTCAAGAAGAAAAGGGGATGCTTTCTTTCAGTCTCTTCTTTGCAAAAAAAAACTTGATGACGAAGCTGTGGGGATTGCGCCGTTGGCGTTGTAAACGATGCGATTCCCGGGATTTGTTTGTCGAGCTTCGCAATCCCTGTGGTAGCGATACTTAAATGTGGCTTATACAATGAACACGAGCACTGCGTGAGCATTCGATTTGGGCACCTGACAATCAACGTCTAGACATGCATTAAGGTAGTGGTTTGTGCCCAGTCACTGCGATGACGAGGATTGCCGAGCTTTTACAATGTGTGAAACTCGGCCCGTGCCCATGTGCTTTGCCAACCTCAACGCGTGCTTATGAAAAACATTGGCAGCACATAATCGGCTCCAGGTCATGTGACCACCTGTTTTGGCAGCGGGTTGAGGGGGTGAACAATGCTTGTTTTTCTCTCATTTTTTTTTCTGCAACTGCTTTTGCGTTTAGAAAAAAAAACTAGCACACGTGTCATAGGTTATAAATGTCGAGGAACAATTCTATGCAGTATTTACCGAAAGTAAACAAATTGTTGCATTGCCCATTTAAGGCTGCCTCATGCCAATGGCATCCTCTCCTGCTTCGGGAAGCAGTCATTGGGCCCCCCCAAAACTTTTACATTTAATTCGGAGGGCGAGGCAGTAGAGCACCCTGCTTTGAAATGTGTACTTCCTGCATGGGAGGTGCCCATAGCTTTGGTAGCGCGACTAACTCTAAAATGATAATGACCACCTAGCAGAAAAATTCAATTCAAGGTGAGGTTTTCTTGGAGTCTGTTGAAAGACTGGCGAGCTTCTCTCTGGACCTGCCCAAAAGCGGGTGAGCTTTCCTTTGGGAGTCATAAAAAAGGACGTCCAATCCAATCAACAAAACATGCACAAAAAAAAAAACGGTGGTGATGTTTTTTAACAAGTTGACTAAAGTAAAAAGAAACAGAACTATTTCTCTGCGGAGCCTTGTCACAGGTTATGTCAAAATGCGACAGCATTGGTCATCTCTTATGAAGGCCACACATTGCTGAATAGATTGTGACAAACCCTATGGCGGGCAACCATGTGACAAAGAGCCCCATGCTCTCACTCAACAGCGGAATGAGCCCACCTTGCCCCTCTATCCCTAGCCAAACGTCGGTCTCTGACTTCCAGTGCCTCTTTGGCACAGCGTGCACAGTCAAACTCGGCACGCTGCCACTTCCTCCTCTTTAGCCCGCTCTTTCCTTTTGCGAGGCAGTGTAAAGACTGTGGCACATACAAAGAACGCCTCGTCCCGCGACCCGTGCAAGTGCACCACAGGAAGGGAGGGACGACAGATGTGGAGGGTGCAGCAATATTAGCTGGCCTTGTGGCTTTGAGGCCGAGATGACACTAAACCCTTAAGGGGGGCCTTAGGTACAGTCAAGGACAAAAGTCCCCAGGACGCACGAGCTGCGACTGAAACGCATTGCTCTGCCATCTGCCGGCAGGTCGCCTGGTTTCGAGATCACACAAAAGCGCATGCGTGTCCTACTGTACCTGCAAACGTGTGCTTTCCCGCTCTTCTGCGGTGCAATGCCGAACTCTGAATCTATCGCCTTACTCACATGGCAGCTATAAAGCAAGAAGTCACGGCAGCTCAACTGAGCGATAAGCTCAATTGGTTATAAAGCAAAGTGCGCTGACATGGCGAAATGCGGCGCAATACTGCAGTCGGTATCTCGAGTCTCGGAATGTGTAGCAGACACTCGTCAGCCGCAAGCGCCATCTCCGAGGCGGTACCACGCGCCCGATTCCGAGTTCAGAGCCACGCCGCCGAAGAGCGGGAAAACACACATGTTTGCAGGCACAGTAGGACACGCATGCGCGACCCGCCGGCAGATGGCAGAGCAATGTGTTTCAGTCGCCGCTCGCGCGTCCTGGAGACTTTTGTCCCCGTCTGTACATTGTAAATTGCTACAAAGAGGTTAGAATGAACTGCTACATTTTCTACTGCCGCAACGTAGCAATCGGTTTCATAGCTTAGCATGCCGGAGGCACCCTGCATGAATAATGGTTAGAGAATAACGGCTGTACTCTTTATAATGGGCAGTACCTTGCGCCACCTGGACGCGGCCTTTTACCCCTTTCGGCGTAAAAGGCCACGTCTAGGTTGTGGGCACCCTGGCGGCTCCCAAGCCAAGTTGCCCGACTGCGAGGCTCAAGCCGAACTTTTCCCGCGTGGCGGCGACGTCACGCCAGCCACGCGCACATCGGATGCGCCGCCTTGATAAGGCAGATCAGAGGCGGCGCACGGGGAGTCGCTGCTTGGACTCCGGCAGCGCCGGTAGCAATGTTAATCGTCTTGTCCATGTCCAATTAAATGTAGTTTCTTGTTGTTGAAACCGTTGGCTCCGTGTTATTCCTCCGGGTCGGGTATGCAGCAAGGCAAACCGACCACAATGGCGCCCAACCGTGGTATGCTACCCACTCGCAGGAATTTCACGGGGCTTGGTTTCTTCTTTCGGTAAGCTTTTTTTTCCCATACCCCGTGTTTCCTATCGTTGTTTCGTGCTTCCGTCACGTCCACGTTTGTTGTATTGGCGTGTTTCTGACTGTGTTTTTGTGACCGCGGCAATCGTTTTGCGCGCTTGTGTTGGGTTTTTGGGGGCGTTTCTTTTTTTTTTTGTGCTTGCAGGAATGCTTACGCGACGCAGCACCCGGATGAAAGTCTGGTCCGGTACGTTCGGGTCATGCAAGAGCTCTTCAAGAGGGCGGACCCGAAGTCACCGGAGTCGGACAGAGTAGCTCGGGTCAGAAGACAGTGTCACCCCAGGTACCACGTCTACCTGATCAACCGCACCTTTGAGACCCTTGAAGAGCTAGCCCGGGGCGCCCGCCTCATCGAGGAAGCTCTTCATGCCGAGCGGAACTACGTGCCGCCGCCACCAGCCAAGTACGCGCTCGAGCCGGCATGCGCATGGCGGGGCCCCGAGGCCTCCACGCAAGTGGACTGTCCGAACGAGACCTCCCTTCCCCACCACGTCAACCAGGAGAGTTGGCGTGGCATGCATGGTGAACTCCCGTGCGGGATAAGCGTATGTTCGCCTAACTCTCCCCGAGAGGTCCCCAGAGGTCACAGCGAGGCCCGTGAGGGTTTCGGGCGGGGGTCGCCACGACAGGTGGGAGGTCGTTGGCCGTGCCCTATCGTAAGCTGGGGCCCAACGGAGATCACCACTCAAGCGAACCATCTTCATCAGTCTGCTCCTGCAAGTGCTGGCGAAAACTGGCACGGTGCGGTCGCAAACCCGCAGCCCAGCAGCATTGACCCCCGCCGCAACGGAACAAGCCCTCCCCACAACAGCCAGTCGCAAGCCTGGTGGAGGCCCTCCCATAGTGGTTCCTTATCCGATCACTGGAGGCCGTCCGACGGGCACCTCGGTGCGGGTGGCCTAAGCAGGCAACTGTCGTCGGACTGCTGCTACGAGTGCGAGCAGCCCGGCCATCACCGAAAGCAGTGTCCAAGGCTTCTGGACACTACAAACAAGAGGTGGCACGAGACGGCGGCAAAGGGCCGGAACCAAAACAACCAGGGAAACTACTACGGCCGGCGACGCTGAAACCAGACAGCCACTCGCCGACGGCCGGTGCAGTCCCTGGGAGCGGTCAGGCCGCGGCACAGATTCCATCGGTATGTCGAATCCAGCCCGAGCCTAACATCATTGAACCGCGCATGACAATATCACTGCTCGATTTTCCCATTGCCGCACTTTTGGATTCTGGGGCCGCTATCTCGCTCATAGGGGATTTTGTTTTCGAACACTGCAAAGCAAAAAAGATAAGCCTCCGGGAGTGCGAAACCCTTTTGCAGCTAGCTTCTGGTACAGCGATAACAGCTGGAGGAGCCGTGAGGCTGCAGATTCGGTTTAATGGAAAGAAGGGGCGTCAGCGATTTCTTTATATGCCAGGACTTGTGGTACCTGTGATCTTGGGCCGAGATTTCATTGCAGGCGAGAGCATGACGCTCGACTTTTCTGGTGGTGGATACCGGCTGGGACAACAACCGGAGCTGACTCCGTTTACCAAACGGGAGGACTGCATCCCTAACCCGACCACTACAGCCCACTTCACCACGGTGCCAGACGTCTTGCCTGTCGGCGTTCCGGACCGTGATACCCCGCAAGCTACGTAAGCTTTTCATCCGATACATGCATGACTCTGCCTTGGCAGGACACAGCAGTGGGAGCAAGACTTACGAAAAGTTATCCCAAATTGCTACCTGGCCAGGCATGAGGCAGGATGTGCTCCGATATGCTCGTAGCTGCTCGGTGTGCCAGAAGGCAAAACCACGTGGTGGTCAGGCCCCCGGTCTCATGCAACCAATCGCGAGTCAGAGCCCTTGGCAGATTTGTTGCTGTGACGTCATGGGCCCATTCCCACGTAGCACCCGTGGCAATCAGTACCTATTCGTGGTAACCGACCACTTCACGAAGTGGGTCGAGTTATTCCCTTTGCGGAAGCTAGATTCGCAAAAAATCTGGGAGTGTCTACTCGAAACATTCGCTAGGTTTGGCTTTCCCGCACAGCTTGTAAGCGATAATGCCTCCTATCTCACGAGTAAGGTGTTTGTGGACGCATGCGCGGTGCTGGGAATCAAGCACAAAAGAACTTCCCCGTACCACCCGCAAGCAAACATCACGGAAAGGGTAAATCGGAACCTTAAGATGATGCTAGTGGCCTATACCGAGCGCCACAAGGACTGGGACGCGAAATTGCCCGAGCTGGCATTCGCAACCCGTACAACCACTAATCGGTCAACGGGTTTCACTCCTGCCCAATTAAATTTCGGCAAGGAGCTTGCGTTCCCGCTTTTTAACAGTCTCCTTTCTACACAGTCTGGGGGAAGGCTTCGCCCCTACGTGAAGTTCGCAGAGGACCTGCGAAAGCGCTTCTCCGATAACCTAAGAGAGGCTCGAGAAAATCTCGACGCCGCTCGAGTACAGCAGGCAGAACAGTACAACCAGGGGCGACGTGACTTGCAGTTCGAGGTGGGAGATTTTGTACTCCGGCGTACTCACCCACTGAGTGACGCCGCTCGAGGCTTCGCAGCCTCCCTCGCCAACAGGTGGGAAGGTCCGTTTCGCGTGCGTGAAAAGTGCTCACCACTCACTTACAAACTAGTTAACTGTGAGTCTAGTGAGGAAACCGGACCTGTTCATGTCACCGACCTTAAACGATTTTTTTCAAGCAGAAGACGAAGATTCCTCGCAGGACCGGAACGACACTGACGGCAGTCCCGTTCCGGAAACCCCCTTGTCTCCACCAAGACGGCGGTATAACCTGCGACTTCGGTGACACCAAAGAGAGAGGAACCTTTTTTTTTTTTTTTTTTGTCTCCTTGGCTTTGCCTCTCTCGCATTTTGGGGGTAGTTTTCTACTTCCACGGATCTGCCCCTTTTTCAAGAGAGGGGGGAGAGGATTGTGTGCCCACCTCAGATCCGTTATTTCAAACTTTCTGGAAGGGGTCCGAAGATAACGTCAGGCTCAGCCCTCAACTGAGTCCCATGTCGTCTGCTTCCATGTTTTCTACGAAGCTGACTCATGGACAAAACCGTCGCCACACCCGCCATCTGAACGACACGGCGGCCGGTCTCATCGTGGACCGCGGCCACCCTCTACAGGACCACGGGCAAAGCAGCCACCTGGTGGAGCCCTGATCCCGAACAAGCGACAAGCTGGAGCTGACCGAGCCGCCGCGCTCGTCAGCAGCCGCCGCGCTCGTCCAGCAGGCGCCGGCCGGACTTAAACGTCAGTCCGCCCAACAGCGCCATCCACCCCCTGACGCCCACAACGTCTCCGTCATCGACATGCCGGACGAAGCTTGAGGGGGGGGAAGTGTGGGCACCCTGGCGGCTCCCAAGCCAAGTTGCCCGACTGCGAGGCTCAAGCCGAACTTTTCCCGCGTGGCGGCGACGTCACGCCAGCCACGCGCACATCGGATGCGCCGCCTTGATAAGGCAGATCAGAGGCGGCGCACGGGGAGTCGCTGCTTGGACTCCGGCAGCGCCGGTAGCAATGTTAATCGTCTTGTCCATGTCCAATTAAATGTAGTTTCTTGTTGTTGAAACCGTTGGCTCCGTGTTATTCCTCCGGGTCGGGTATGCAGCAAGGCAAACCGACCACAAGGTGGAGTGGGAAAATATGTAGACAAAAGGGCTTTTACCGGCCCTTTCGAGGTAAAAGCTCTCCTGTCTGCACATTTTCCCGCGCATGTCTTTCAATGACCCTTATATCTTTGGTTGGGGGGGGTGGGGGGGGGGGGGGGGGGGTGTTCCCGAAAATTTTATCGAATTTAAAAAGATGTCTCCGGGGCCTGCGTGAAAATCTAACAGCGAGTCCACAGGGATCAACTTACCCGACCCAAAGGCGACCGGTGGGCCGTGCAGGAAGGACAGCGTCGGAGCGGTGCAGTACAAAATGACCGGCGCAAGTTGCCCGGCTCCAGTGTCGTGGCATAGCACCTGCGTCCGGCTAAAATCCGCCGTGTTTACAATTCACATACAGTCACACCCAAACATCCTTGAGTAGAAGCTCAAGTTGAAGCTAATCGTAGATCGATACACATACCCACAAACACAAAAGATTATAAAAAAAATGGAGTAGATTGAGGAACAAAGCTTCGAAAAGAAGAAAAAATAAAGGCACAGTAAGGCTCGTTGAGATAGTCAATAGTTGTTGAATTAAAATGTAAATCCGATGGAAGGCTTAATGCTATCAGGCTGAGAGGACGGTACAAAGGAATGCCATAGACGTTCGGTGGCCATACCTGTCACCGGCGAAGAAGCTTCTCGAGATCATTCGCAGAATGTCGTCTCTGCGAAGGTGTGATTCGGACACTTAGAACTCAGCGGAGATCATAGATGTGCGGGCGGACAAAAAACATTAGAACGGAGCGTCTAGAATATCCCTGAGAAGCGGTTTGCTCAGCGTGTAAACAAAACAGCAACTAAATGGATCGGATTGACATTCGATTTCATATTGTAATCACTCGACTAAAGTCGGAAGCGCCAGATGTTCAGAAACCGAAAATGCAAAAAAACGGGGACTAATTATTCCTCATTTCTGTTATTTAGTTGCGGTACCTTTAAATATTTTCGTGGATTGTCTCCACCAGCTACATTAGCTACCACGCAGCATACTGATGAGTTGTTTTGTTACTTTATTTTGTTTAGCTACAGCTGTTAGAAAAGCCGAGGGTAGCCAACAGTAGACAGTTTCTTGTGCTCGTCTGCTTGCTGTGCTTGCTGTCAGCGTGGTAGTCAGCGTGGTGGTCAGGCACTACCAAATCTTTTATTTGTCAGGTACAGTCGGGAGCAAAAGTTTGGATAACACCTGAACGCCGACCGAACTGCATCGTCGCCTGCTATCGAGACCCACGCAGTGCGCACGCGCGTCCTTACCTGCTCGCTGCAACGCGATGCGCGTTGCAGCGAGCAGGTCTGATCAAAACGGCGATAGACTAGATACCACAATTTTAGCTAATCACTCGGGACAGCGGCTGAGTGGCCTAGCTCGCGTGCTCTGCGGCACGGGCAGTTCACCCTTAGCGACCAACGGTGTTCTGAGCTCATGCGTGACACCGCCATAATCCGCAGGAGGCAGGCCGCAGTGCACGAGACAGCTTGTGCCTTCTCGTGCTCTGCTCTTGCAGTGGGGTCGTCGCGCGTGCCGAAATACTACAGCTCCCACGGTGCATGCCGACAGCGCCGGTGTGACGAAACTGGCTGGTGCAATTACATGTTCCTGAGTCGCGCGAGAGTGTCGCTTGAACTGCCTGTGCCTCAGAGCAGGCGCGCTCGGCCGCTGTACAAAGCGATGATCGAAGATGTGGCATCACGGCTGCCGAAGCGATATCTGTCGCCGTCTCAATCAAGCGTGCGCACTGCGCGAGTCTTGGCAGCAGGCGGCGCGCCGGGAGCGCAACGATGCAATTCGGTCGGCGCTCCGGTGTTATCCAAACTTTTGCTCCCGACTACTAGCAGGCAGGGTTGCCAGGTAGATTCTAGCTCGAACCGCCAAATGTCGGACGGTATAGCCCAAAAGTAGTCAAATGCAATATATTTATATAGCGCAAAAGTAGCCACATTCAAAATATTTGTAGAATCCAAAATATAGTGCACTCGCATGCTCTTGCTCAAGGCAAACACACTGCGTCTGCATATCTAGGGTTTAGGAGCAGCTTCCAAGAACTACGACATCTTTGAAATGTGTTGAAAACGTTTTATTTCAAATAACACAAAAAAGTAGCATAATATGAAAACAATTTCTTTAACACCGTCAGGAATCGCTGGTGCTCGGCTGATTCCCCTCCTACACGATTCGTGTGTTAAAACGGCAAAAAATCTTTACAACACTTCACTTCTTTCCAAGAAATGCAAACTTCACATGAAGGATGTTTTCAAGAGTTTGAAAGGACATCCTGTCCCTTAAATCAGATTTTTGAGAGACGAACTTCGAACTTTAGCTGGTTCAAACTATACATCGTTTTTGTCATGGTTGCTTTAAGAAACTTTCATGTTTCACGGAAAAGCCTCCTTTGTTATATCCGGTACCGCCTTGGGTACAGCACGCGTTATCGAACGACCTCGAATTCTGCTGGATGTCTCAAAACACGACAGTAGGAAGTAGGGCAGACTTTCTTTGTACTAACTTGGGAGCATAAGATAAGTCACAATGAATACAAAAGCGATGCCTTCTTGGCTGGTCACCTAGCTCAGTGGAGCTAACAGGATCCGGCGTAACGCCCACGCAAACCCTGAAAGCGGGAATACAGAAAGGGTGGTCTGTCGCTCTGTCCCTCTTGTCCCTCTGCACTAAAAAAAATATTTTGCATTAGGATTTAAAGTAGCCCAAAAATAGCCACATAGCCAACTGCCAGATTTTGACGCCAAGTGCAATACAAAGTAGCCCAATTTGGCTATTAATAGCCCAACCTGGCAACCCTGCTAGCAGGGCTGGCCCTACACCCCCAAGTACCCTAGGTCAACTTCGGCCGTGGCGCCATCCCTCTCTCTCCCCCTTCCAGCCTTTTTATACGCCCCTCGGCCACTCAGCACCCTCCTTTTTGATGGCGCCCTATGCACACCCCTAAAGCCGGCCCTGCATGATAATATGTCATGTCGTGTTTAATTTTCTCTGAAGCGGCAAGAAAGTGTAGGCCTCAGGCATGGACCTTTTGTGTCTTACAATCCTCTGCGCCTTTACCTGGAGTGTGACTGTGTTGAGTTTGTATCTCTAAACTGGGACGCCTGCGTTCCAGAGGTTGATACAACTAAACTGTGCGCAAAGCAGGAAAAGCAGGAAGCAAGAGCACGCGGAGACGACAAAGTGCCGAGCTCGAGTTGAAATGTTAGTGGGTTCACGCTAAGCTAGCTGCTTCTGTCTCCACTCACACTTCGGTCGCGGAATGCTGGCATTTAGAAATCGAACGCGTTCTGGTATTGATGTCGCTGGCCTGTCCTAGGCAGAGCCTCCTCCGCGTGCGGTGCTTGGAGCGCCGGCATGCTGTTTAAGCTGAGACTGTACGAGAGCAAGTACGAGAGCACGAGGTCGCTGTTTTGAAGTGTTCTTCCGCAAAACGAGCACTCGTGCTAGGAGTGCACGTCTCAAAGCCAGGAGCGCTGGCTAGCTCATGCTTGTAGCTTTGGCTGCAGTCTCTAACATTTGCAACTTTAAGCGATGGTGGTATTGTGGTGTGAGAACCACACCCCCTAGCTCCTGGATGTTCGTCTGTCAAACGAGGGTGTTTGCTTACTCCCTCCCGACGTGGAAGTATTGGGCACGGCTCTTAATTGTACCACACTTATTTCACAAAATTAGAATTTATTCTGCATAGCAGGTCCAACCTCGTACTGCTGTTCTACGAGGATCATCCAGATGACGGCCATTTTTATAGGAACTAGCGCACTCCCTTTAGGCCGTGAAAGTCGCAAGTAATCTCGGGCCCGAGCTGGCACCAAGCCTTGTCGGAACTGCAAAGCGCTCGCAGCATGCCAACGGCCCAAGCCCTATTTGCGGAGAAGGCTCCACCTTAGAACAAGCCAGCGACATCAATACCGGCATTTGAAGTGTGAGCAGAGAGAAAGGCAGCCAGTTTTGCTTCCGCCCACCCCCTGCGCCCTCTCGTCCCTTCTCTCTCGGATTCTCTTCGCACAGCCTCACTTCTACATAGTTCCAGGAAACCTGTATTCGCCTGAGCGGGGTGAGTGAACGTCCATCTGCACTGCTTGGTCTTGCAGGTCGAGATCTTGGAAAAAGAACATAATTTTGCTTTTAGCCCCTTCCCCTGGCAAATAGCGAGTGCTCGCAGATTTGGGACTTGAGCATCCGTTCTCCGTGGTAAGGCAGTCAAGCGACGACTTGGGGGCACACTGTGCAGCAGACTGAGCCGCTCTGCTTGCCGGCATTTCCGCTGCACAGCTGCTACCATCGCTGCTACGGCGCTATTCTGGCTGTTCTCTCCACCACTGATGCCCTCCGATGCCCCACCACCACCGCGTACAGCGCAAACGCCGTCGTGCTGGACGAGCATGGTTCGTCTTTACTGCCATAGGCCTTTAAAGACGAGTGCTGCCCGTGAATGTAGGGTAGCACCACAATCTCTCTTCGAGGTTTCTCCGCGTTTTCGTTCGAAGACATTGTATGCTTCAAGTTTTTGCATATGTTCTCGCACACGGGTAGCATGAGACTTGTTGGATACCCTGATTCTCCTAGTCGTTGCATCTGTTTTTCAAAGCTCTGGCCTATTTCATGTTTACACAATATGTGTAGGGCAGAGACTAGGACCGTGCCGGCGACACTTCCTTTAGTGGTTTTTGAATGCCCAGATGTGAACGAAAGAAACCCTTTTGCTGATTGGGGTTCGTACCTCCAGCACAGGTGTTCTTGATTGAAAATCAGCGCGAGGTCTAGGAATTCTATATTTTTGTGCACAGGTGATTCATGCGTGAAAACCAGGTTGGGGTAACTTCCTTGAAAACATCTCGGAACTGTATTTCTGCATCTGTTACTCTGGTCATCTAACCATTATGATCTCCAAGAAGAATTATGATTCTGAGCAACATGTTCATTTTCACCTCTCAGTGGTCAAGGTTATGAAAAGGAATATGTGTCAATAGACCATATATGAAATGTAGAGCGCCATCTAGTAGCGTGGCAAGAACTACATCCGCCATCTTGGTAGCGGCGAGAAAACGAAACCAGTGACCCAATGGGCGAACACCCCATGTAAACAAGCGACCGTGCCTCTTGCGAAAGATGCGATGCCAATGCGTTGCTGCGTTACACTGCGGATGCAGCGTTAAACCTTCGATTCGTGCATGACATGAACGCAAATGTAAACAGGGCTCATACTTTTTCCTTATTTTTATTTGCCACTTGATACTCAGCTTTTGACGAGAACATACGGTGACAATGCAAAGAAACATGCGGACGTTGTTTTGTGGCATGAAGCCGTTTGCAACTATTGAACTGGGCCCTAACTTTTTCATGAAATTGTACCAAATTTACGTCTGAACTTTGTTTTTTCTTTTATGCACGTCGTGGTGTTGGCCTGCATTGTTCTTGATACGCAAGCAGCTCAATGGGGATACGGCCCATTTGTCACATGTCGATTCGTCATAGGGCAACTGGTAACAGGCCCGTTTGTCACAGCGGAATATTCGTCATAGGATGATTCGTTACGCTGGCAGTTCGTCACAAAGTGACCCCGAGATCGTTAAACGTTCTCTTTTTTTTCTATTTTGTTTCTTTAGGAAAGTTACGAAAGGGGGTCACCCAACGAACTCCGCACAATTAAGGTCAGTGAGGTTGACTACCATACGAACGTGAACAAAAGCGTTTTCCAATGACCCCAACAAAAGATAACGTGCAACCTTTAGCCTGCATGTTGTCTTATCTGGGTCACCTTACTAACAGAAGAACTTCGAAAACATAAAGTTCACAATAAAAAAATGGCCCACTGAAGCCGATTCTTTTTTTTTCTCTCTTTTTGTCACCCGCTTCAGGGTTTTATCTTGCCGGTTGCTTCCAGATCCATAAAAGACGGATCTATTTTGCTTCCCATCTCACTCTCGATTTCAAAATGGGGGTAGTTACTACTAAGATAGGTGGGCGATATCCGTCTTCACGAAGGACATTCCTACACTTGCATTAAAGTTAACGAAACTACGTTGTATTCGGCCTGCCGCCGAAGAGGAGTTCGTAAAACTAAAATAGTCACCGATCACGCCAAGACTCGTGTAATCTCTTATTCCAGTGACCATACGCATGCATTTGACTCCACCGAGATAAACGTTCTTCGAATTCGTCATCAGATGAAGGAAAAGGCTGGTATGTACCAAAATATGTTCCTGCTCTTATACTCTCAAAACAAGTTCACTAATGTCCAACATTGTAAAACCCGAGACGTAGGACAAGAAAAAAGGAAGAAAAACGGGACAACATGTTCCCTCTGTTCTTTTTTTGTCCTAAGTGTCGGGTTTTACAATGTTGAAAGCTCACCAGCTCGCTTGCATCTTCTCTGTAATCTCTATCCTTACTAATGTCCTTTATTCCAGTAGAAGGCCGTCTAGCACCGCACCAAATACTTCTGGATGCGGCTGCCTGTGACGGCAGCGCATCGCAGATTCTCGCACCGTCAACACTTCGGCGCACAATCCGCAAGCAAAGGCAGCGGTCGAAAATCGATTACAGCGTACCATCTTGCAGAGCCGAGATATGAATGCCTAAAGAGTTTAAGGTAAAGCGCATTGCAGCGCAAAAGCACAGTGCTCGACATATTATGATAATAATGACTTGGAGATTCCCTTTTCTTCTACGACAGCGGAGAAGGCGACAGCGAAAGAATTCTCATTCTTTCGACGTCATAATTTAAGCCAATTGGTTATTTTATTTTTTGTAGATTTTCAGATGAGAATGGTTCCAGCATTGGCCTTCTTGCCAATCGCCGACATTCCCGAGGCCTTCTAGGACCTTCTCGAGGTTTTCCCCACCGATTCCTCACTCGTGGCGGACTACTCCGAGGACGTGTATATCAAGAGACCCCGTCGAAACGGCTTGTCGTCGGCCACCTTCCCTCCTCTGGTTTGGTCAGTCAGAGAATCAACACTAGCACAAATGCCAAGGACTAACAACAGCATCGAAGCGTGGCACCGGGGACTGCAGGTAAGAGCTGAACTAATCCTCTGAGAACTTGGAATTTTTCTGTAGTACATTTTTGCATTTGTGGCTCAAACTTTCAGTATGGTGCGCACTCGGAACGCTTCCTCCACCTGTGTGTGTGTGTGTCTTTTTTTTTTTTTTTATGCACGAGCAACGTGGGCTGCAGCTCTCCGAATATCTGGGTCTTCCTGGGCTGCATAAAGAGAGAGAGCAGTCCTTGGCAGAGATGAAGCTGGCTCGAGCAGAGTGCGGCATGACATCTTCGAGGGTGTCCGAGAAGCACGCCGACTGCAACCGGCGTCTTCAAGTCAATGTAAGCCTCTACAATGGTCGCAATCGTCTTGAAACCTTGGGGACGGCCGCTCGGAATATCGCTTTTTAATTTGTTTTTATTTTGCTCAATAAACCTGTTGTTTCCTAAGTACAACGATGACTTGTTTGGATGTTCCCTCTCTTCAGTAAAAATGAAATATACCGCACTAATCTTTATTGCATGAACAGCCAGGTGAATATATGTTGGGCAAATTCAAATATTCGGTTCGTATAGTGACAAACTTTCCTAGTGACGAATTCCCCTATGACGAATGTTCCGCTGTGACGAACGGGCCTATTACCAGTTGGCCTATGACGAATGCGCACATGACAAACGGGCCTACACCCAGCTCAATGTATGCGGACGAGACCAAGGCTGTTAAGCGAGGCAAAAAGATGACAGTTTTATTCATCTATGCCACCAACCATAATTGAAGGTGCCAGGGATGGGCAAAATACATGCAAATATGTATCAAAATACAAATACAAAATACTTCATCAAAAATGTATTTAATTACAAATCTAATTACATTTCCAAAAAAGCATTTAAGTACAAGATACAAATACAACCAAATGTATTTGGTCTCCTCCAAATACTTTTTCAAATACATTCCTCAAAATTTGCGTCAGCGACTTATACAATACTTGTATTTCAAATACTGCCCATTCCTGGAAGTTGCGTATGGTAAACAGTGAACAACAAAAGCTGAATGCACCACAGAACCCTCATTTTAATGTCATATGTTAAAATTAATAATTACTTTGGAAAGTCAGAAAACACTCTCATTGCTTTACGGCAATTTTTATGCGGAGGGCAAGTTCGTCTGCTTTTTGCGCAGGGGTTGCGGTGACATCAGAATGCCAACTTCTGATTGGCTCGAGTGGGAAGATACGGGGTCGTCGAGATGCCCTATCTGAGCGTCGTCTGCTATTCAACAGCTGTCTTACCTTTACGAGCGACCTCGACTTCGCCTTTCAGAAAGGACAGACGAAATAACTCGAGCGGTACAATGAGTTTTTGTCTAACAACTAGCAGACATGCATCAAGGAGCGAAGCCAAAGGACCCACGGGTGAGGTGGCCAACGCGCCGAGGTTTGTTTGCTAACAATCGAGAACGAGGGTGTTTGGCGTCCGCAAGTTCGCTCCTTTAGTGTGTGGCATCGAGCGTATCAGGCAAGTTATGTCGTAGGCTCGTTGGCACCAACAAGTAATTGTTTTTATTTTTGGCGAAATTTTATGGAAACTTATTTTTCTATGCCCTGTTATCTAAACACAGAAGCAAAGCGAAGAGAGAAGAAAACGAGATATATCTATGTCATATGCCTCGTCGGCCTGGTTCAATCTCGACCTCTTTTTCCAAAAATATGGCCGTCCATTCGAGATGTCACCTTACGAGTGTACTTCGTTTCACCTTATGCCCGGACGCAGCGAATGCGATGAGCTATGCGAGCCGATCCCGTTCTGTGGATGTAGCTTACGATACACTTTCCGCTTGTCGCTGTGCCCCCTCTCCAAGGTCACGTGACGCTTGGACGACCTTGGATTGGCTTTGATGGCTCGTAGCATCCGCTGCGCTCAGATGTAAGGTGAAATGGGGCATAGTGTTGTACAGATTGTAGCGTCCCGTCTACATATCCTGCATTGTTTTTGTTTTTTTTAAATCCAAATTTTTGGTTCACCATTTCTTTAACCTGCTCATTTCACGAGCCTGGCTCTGAAGCGTACACACACCATCTTCTGAACTTTGCAGGTCAAGGCTGTGTCAAAGGAAAATGTGATGGAGGAGAGCTGCTGGCAAGCAACACTGATTCTACTCTCTACCAGGAATCATATGGTTGTCTTTTTAGACTTGGGCTAGGTGGCGCAAGCTATTGCCCATTACAAAGGGTATAGCCGTTAACGTCCATCCATCCATCCAGTTCTTTTTGCTTGTGCTGGTGTTCTAGGCGTTGGAGTGACACTTTTCGTGATTGTTTTTCTGAATTCTCTTGTCGCTTGAAAGTTCTTTGTTAGGCAGTTTGATTTGATTGTTAGCTATCTGCTACTGTGTGAAACTTTGTCTGGCATGTCTTTGATACAATGACATTTCAAACGGACATCCCCTCTCTCACATTTCCTTCACATTTGCATTCTGGCATGCAAGTGACAGCGAGAAGACAGGGCAGGTGCTTTTCAGGGGGCATCTCATTCCCACATATAGTTATTTATTTTACTTCGTGCCCATTTACAGTGGCTGTCTCAGTCGAAACTGGCCATTTGTGGCTTTGGTGTCTTGTTCATGAAGCGAATCGTGGTGGGATTTGTTTGTGAACAGAAGGGAATTTGCTGTCTTTCTTTGTCTTTAATTTCTTGTCTGTACAGTTGGTTGAGTTCTGTCTATGTGTGTCTCTTTATGTAGCTCTAGCATTTTCTTTTACATGTGTGCATCTGTGTGACTCAGTAATGCTAATTGTGCAGTGTTCCATCACTCGCTATGGGTGTTGCACTGAAGACGGTAATCGTGTGGTGTTTGATTTCTTGCTATGGCTGCCACATTGAAATGTCACCTTTTCAAGTTTGGCAAGCTGATTTACTTATATCACGAGGATGAAAAGAAACTGTCAACCTTTCCACTTTGGTGAAGAAGGAAGATCAGCGAAGCTGTACTATGGTGGGAATGAAGTAATGGCCAGCTGCATGTCAGCAAGCCAGAGTGGAAAGGTTGCCGGCATCTGTGAGCGACGGCGACAACTGGCAAGCCGGTTGTCTGGTTGCCGCCGTTGATCACAGATGGCGGTGGCTGTCCAGAGTGTTGTGTCGACATTTGTTTGCTGGCTGACACTACCCTGGGGAAACCAGCCCTTAATAGCTCCGCTGTAAAAACCGCTCACTGATTCGCCTAGAGCATCTGTATTGATGTCAGCTATGCCAGTCAAGCAGAAGTAACCAAACGTGCCAAATATTGTAGTCGATCACATCCCTGTAGTGATGCAAATTGCTTTCTATGTGAGCCTACTTCTTCTTAAACTATGTGCCCATAATATAAATTTTTATGAAGTTTCAATTAGCAATAGATCTTGTGTATAGGGAACTTTGCGCATACATGGTATGGGCTTCAAAATCGGGGTAATGCGGTTATTCATTTTCAGTAAAACAAAAGGTTGGCGTTAAGCGTCAGCTGCATGATCCTCATTTCAGGTCTATGCCTAAGCGCTTGTAGATCCACACGTCACAAACAATTGTTGTATAGGTAGACCATTCCAATATGGTTGTCTTCTGTGAGCTGCCATCCTTGTCTCCTGGGCTATGGAATTGCATTCCGAGCATGCGCAGTAGCTCTCCTGTGGAATATCGGATGCCACGCACGGCCATGGCTCTGTGACCCGTCATTTTTCTGCCGGGTGACGAGTGCCGGAAAGGTGTATAGTGTGCTCTTTTTCGTCTCCCTGCAGCGCAACATCACTTCGCCCAAGCAGAGCCAGAAGGGATGCTGCCTCGCCCAACAAATGGAGGGTTCTGGATGGAGAATTTTGACGGTCAGCCTTTGTCGCAGCAGCCACTGGAAGGACATCCCTGGAGTGCTCTGTCCCTCGAGGTGAAGCAAGGCAAGTTTCAGATATTCCTCCATCTATACCTTGAAAGAAACACTGAACAAAAACAAACAAAAATAACAGAATTTCTTTGTTAAAAGTGTTTGGACAGAACACATATGTTACAAAAATCACTTTTCCCGAAAAAAAGCTCTTTTTTTTTTTGCTCCGAGTTTAGGTGGTGCAATTCATTTGGAGGTAAGGCTGGTTCGCACATCTGCGTTGGTTGCATTCGCATGCAACCTAAACGATTGTGACGACAAAGTCACTGGGACAAGAGTTTGCCGTACACAGCATGGCAGGCGATGCAAGTGGTAGCTTCGTGAAGCAATTCACGAGTCACGGTTGTTGCGGTGTTTTGGTCCTTACGGTCGTTTTGGTTGCTAGCGAACGCAACTGTTGCAAATGTGTAAACCAGCCTTAACGTGACACGCGTCTGTTCAGTGCTTCCATTTTGGGACGGTGTACCAAAATGCAACTCAAAGTGAGCCTTGCGGCGTAAACATTGCGCGAAAAGCCTTTTGTCTATGAGGGGGGGGTTATTTTATGAAATACGTTTCCTATCAAAACATTTAACGAAAAAATATATTTTTTTAAAGTTCAGTGCCCCTTTAACTGTTTATGCAGTTTAACTGGGGTCTCGTAGCTGGAAATGCTTCGTTGCGAACAGGTTTTCCTGTCGTCGGTATTTATTATCTGTGAGATTTGGCATCCTGGTCTGCATTTCTTCAGCATCTAAAGTGTGGATTCAAAACTGTGACTCTAGACAAAGCTAGCACAAAATATGCACTTTTCAAGTTCGTGACATTAGCTATAAAACACTTAAAAAAAGCTGAAAGAAAGTGTACATCGTCCCTCGTCCCACCTGCGTCTTTTCCTCTCGGTGTTCCTCAACTCAACCGACACGCTCATCAGTCAACATTAAGAATGTGACATATAGGCCAGTGCACAGTTTACAAACGAGCCCTCCTGAGGTATGGGTGCTGCGTGTGCGCAGGAACCAGATTCGGGCGCCAAGTGGAGCGTCTGCGCAAGCGCCCCACCAATAGCGGTGTGACGTCAGCGCTGCGTGTGTGTGTTTAGCTTTTATTGCTGCCTTCAGAAGCGGCTTTTCACGCTGCCTGGTAAAGTGCAATAAAATGTTTTTTCCTTTTTTAGTTGTGGTTGGATTCAACATTCTACAGGGTGTTCCCGAAAAAAATTTACAGGGTCTTTTTCACCGCAAAAATAAGCTATACGTCACAGAACGCTCATCCTCCGCCAAAAGGTAGTGCCAGAGGTCCGAACCAGGTGCCAAAGTTTCAGCATGAACCAACATCTTTTTTCAAAAGTTACGAGTGATTTGTAAAAAATTTCAGTGGTAAAATGGGGCCCATTTTCGCCCGTTTTCGGTTTTTGGCCACATAGAGCTCCGTGTATTTGAGGGCTCTGTCGGCAACTATTTTCCCATTGAAATTTTTTAGAAAGTCACTTAGGAAACTTTTGAGTAAAATATTGGTTCATGCTGAAACTTTGGAATCTGGTCCGGACCTCTAGTGCTACTTTTCGGAGGATAATGAACGTTCAGTGATGCATAATTTATTTTTGCGGTGAAAAATAAAAAAAAAAAAAAAAATTTCTTTTGGGGACATTCTGTATTTTTGGTTTTTGGTTGTCTTACTTCATTAAGGTAATTCTTGTTGGAAATAATGGACTTACAGTGCCTCGAATGGCCCTTCTCTGCAATTTCGAATGATGCATAGCCCATTGCCTTAATCCTAACAAAAAGAGCAACAAAGTGCCGTGTTTAAAATGTTCACAAAAATCCCATAAGTCACTATGAAAGCATGTTTTTTTGTTTTTTTTCGAGAGAAGTCAATGATGGTTGTTTTACTGCGTATTGTAAATTTTAGTTAGGCCTTTTTAAAATGCCAACTTGGGCCATAGAATAATACATTATGTATAATTTTCATAAATATCTTGTCATCTTTAACAAAGAATTAATAAAATATTTTATAAAAACAAACTCTAAATTACAGTTTTGCCATTTAGGGATTTACTGTGACCTTATGTCAATAACTGTTATTTTTGTTCATAATAACAACGTTGGAATCTTTTAATAGGTGTTTTCAACATTTCATTTGATTCATTGCTCATAACATATTCTCAAACGTGAAAACAGCCTTCACATTCAGTACAAGATGGCCACAGGTGCCAAGGTTAAAGTATTTTTACGACAGCAAATTATAAAGTAAAAATACCATAAAATAGATACAAGCATGGTATCAACTTTGACGAATGCATCTAAAAGTTAGCTCGAAGGGGCACGGACAAGTTATTCGTGCTTGCCGAGATATTTGCTGAACTGCGATATACAAGTACCTGGAAAAAATATTCCTGGCCCAAACTTTTGCTTTCTCTTGCACGAAAACATTCGACCAAGAATCGGATATTCAGGTGTGCTCTCCATCTTTTTCAAGGTCGCGTGCAGTACACAACACTGTGTTCATCAGATTTTCTAATAGCATCCTCGATCATCCACACCGGTGCATCGAGGTGCGCCCTTCCGCCTTCGATCAGGTACAGCGGTGCGCGCCGGACGTCCTCAATCAACAGAGCGCGCCCTTTCGGTGCAGCTTTTCATTCCCCCATTGTGCACCAAACAAATCGACGTTCCCATCAGGCATTGCGGCCTGGAGCAGGAATTGAGGAGATGGCGGGAATAGCAGACGTTTAGTCTGTCGAGACGGCGACCTTGCAAAAACGAACGCGCCTCGCAGCGGCACTTGCTTTTCTGACAGCAAAGACGACGAGCTCCTTACCATCGCCGTGATTACCTACCGGCGATTGCTGCGTTGGCAAGGGTCGCCCGAAAGTTATGAACTTCGCGGAAAGCTGTGTGGTGCGTTTTTGACACCTAATGTATGGTTATTATCTGGTGGTACTCTTCCTCAAACCAACAATTATGGGCAAAATATGCCTGTGGAATTGTCGCCCGTTTTGTGACCCCATCGACAATCACGTCCACAATGTTCGTTTGTGTGTGATCGCTAAATCTGTGAGTAAAAAAACGAGAGAAATTGACAGCAGATGGGCACTGTGCATGTCCGTACGCAAGAAAAAACTAGCAAAACGTAAGGTGATGCAAGGTATGGCGCAGTTTCTCCTCGATGTTGCACCGACTTCGCGCTGCACGACCGAGGAGCGCCAAGCACTGCCCTGGTTTCAAAGTAGTTCCGGTGCAAGTTGATCGAAGATGCTATAAGTTGTGGTTCTGATTTCTTGCCCATCGGTAGTGCAATCTAGCGGCAGAAAGATGTGTACTAAATTTTAAGTTGTTAGTCCTTAAGATTTGCAAGTTATACAGTGCAACCCACTTCTAACGATAATGAGAAAACCCGAAATTTTAATCGTTATAACCGATTATTGTCGCATCTCGACTAGAAAATGATAATTTCCAGTCTAGAAACTCTAAAAACTGATCTTATAAGTGGCACTGTCGAGATCGGTTACAACGAAGTCGGCTATAACGAAATAGCGGCTATAGCGAAGCGATCACGATTCCCCGTTCCCATTTTCACTTCGTTATAACCGAAGTCGGTTATAACGAAATAGGGAATATAGCGAAGTGATTTCCGATTCCCGTTGACTTCGTTATAACCTGTCTCGACAGTACATCATTATATGTGGTATCATCATAAGTGGGTTGCACTCTACAGGGTGTTTTTTAGGCCTAAAGACTGTTTAAAAGAAAAACAATTCCTGAAAGCTACACTAATGCAGTTTGTGCAGGTGAGTCACATGACCAGGGTGACATAATATAGGGGGCTAATCATCACAACAAATTCGATAATTAACTAAAAGATTTCAATTAACTTTTTAGTTAATGAAAATGCACAAATGGTTCCAATTTGAAAATTGCTGAGCATCATTTGAGAGCCACTAAACTGGCCCGATCTAAAGTTTTATTCTACTAAATTAGCCAATTTTAGGAGGATTTGGAGTGCGCGGGAAGTGAGCTGGCGTGCCAAACTTCCCACTCGTGCTATAGGCACAAAGCTGGTGGTGCCAAAATGTGGCTGTACGGTTTTTTCTTCACGTCATTCACATTTTCGCACCCTTTGCACCCGTTGGACGAGTGGCAACTTTAACAAACTGTCGGACTTCCCACACGCTCAGTCTCTCTAAGCTTTAATAATTTAGTGGCTTTTAATGACACTCCACAAGTTTCTGATTAGGACCATATTTATTTTCACTGATTAAAAAATAAATGAACAAAATTTAGTTAATTATTTGACTTCTGACGATTAGCCCCCTAAAACATATCCCCATGAGCCTGTAACTCATTCTCACATTCCACGTTAGTGTAGTTTTCATGTTTCTTGTTTTTCTTTAAAGACCGACGACCAGTTCGCGTTTTCCTTTTTTCCCTCGCTTCCTTCTCTCCCCCCTTCTACCCTGTCCAACGTTGCGTCTTTCCTCCTTCCACATGGTGAGGAGGATCTTCTGCCTTGCAGAATCTAGAGTCTGGTCGTCGGCCTTTAACAAATCTGTCAAGCATAAAATAGAAACACACTGTGTATTAAGGGGAGACACCCCCTGGGAGGGTAAACTTTTGAACCCTTGTCTTAAAATTAATGAAATTTGCAGGGTAGGCTGGTGGTCATGCTAGAGGGTGCCTAACAAATTTTTAGGTCTGTCTGTTAAGTGGGAAGGAAATTAGAGCAGCTTCTATCAGCAACTCCCCTACACTGTTTAGTTAATCTATCGTCAGAAAACTATCACAATATTCAAGATTTTTATATGCTAGATATGTAGCAGAATGCCTAGGAGGTGCGGCTATGGAAAGCTTTTTGTAAAAAGTAATTGATTTCTATCAATTTTCCCTTCTGCGAAATTGGTAAACTTTTTGGTCTTCTGTGTCTCCGAGAAAATGTCAACATATTTTATAAAAGACATCCGTAAAGTGACAAACAAACTCCATAGGCGCATTCCTTATTGAATTTCAGTCAGGAAAAGGGAAGAACGAGCCTTGCATGTATTTCCATTCTCAAACGATAGATTGACTAAAATGGAATTTATACAAAAAAGTGGAACGGAGAAAAATGTGTTCAAAGTGATCTAAACCCTACCTTTCCTTTAGTTTTGGTGGACAGAAAATAATTTATAAAAAATTAACTATGCAGTGTGAACTAGTGAAAATTTCTGGGAATACTTTCTGGATGTAGATGGATTTAAATATGTAATTTTTCAAAATCAATGTTTTTTGAAGAATCTTTTTTTCTCCAAGTGGTGTCCCCCCTTAACTTGCACCCTACAAAATAGCTTTGTGTAGTGCACTCCTTTTAAAATCTGTTGAATACCGCATTCACTCGCCCACACAGAAAAAGAAGAAGTGCCACCTGCTTCTACAGATGGAGAAATTGGGGGTGGGAACTTCAACAGTCAGCTCGCGTCGCAGCGGCCGCTAGATGGGCATCTCTGGGGTGCTGCTCCAGTAAAACAAGGCAAGTTTCGGGCATCTTTTTGTCTCTACATCTTAACTTCCGAGCTGCGTATAACCACACTGAAAGATTTGTAGTCTGTGTAGGATTTGAAAGATTTCTAGTGGTAGATATTGTAAGGATCTGATACTGTCATCTCGCGAATCAAACTTGGTTGGCACAAAACTACCGTAGTAAAAAGAATAGTTTGCGCTGTTATTCTGGATATACAGATTACCTTCAAAAGCACCTGCCGCCATCTCTCAGTGGTTCCGTCTGTCGGACGTGTATCGTTCGCAGACAGACGTAGTAAGAAAAGGAGCATAATGATTTTGTTACTTTTTGCTCAAGTAAGTGCATTTTTTAAATTTTCATACACAAAATTTATTGTCTAGCTCTAGGAAATTGGAGCACATTATGCCGAAAAAGCGGATTTCTGCAACCTGTTTAACCGTTTGCTGGTCGAGTTTTTTTTTCTCCCAAAAGATGTTTTTTAGTGGCCAGATTTTGTTTCCAAAGGAATGGTATAAAAGAAAGTATCAGTGTGCAGGTTTTTTTCTTGAGTATCTAGCAGGAACACGAACAGTGCTTGTAACAAAACTTGAAACTTTTAATCAAATGGAAATATTGAAGACGAAAATTTGTTACCTTTCCTCCTTCCAGCTTTATTTTGACCCTTCAGCTACCGCGACATTCCGGCGGTTTCAGATTCCGAACCGGGAGTTCTTTACAGAGCTTCTCCGTTGGATGGTGAACACTCATCCTCTGAATCCAGTTCTAAGAAGCATTGAAAGTCTGAATCGGAAGAGCCGGCTCTCCAATTTCAGGCTTCTAATTTCAGAACTATAAAGAGCCCCAGAAAAGTGAGACACCACGCAACTGTTGTGGAAACATACTTGACCTTGCCCTGGTCACTTCGGCTGTTGATATCAGTCTTGCCAAAGCTCCGCTATCTCGGGTGGATAACTATCATCAACCTTTTATTGTATCATTTTTCTTCCCACTTGCCAAGCGAATTTTCCATTCACAGTCATGGTTTTCCTACTCCAACGGTGATTACTATTCATTGTATCAGTATCTTCGGGACTATGACTGGAGTAATGTTCTAGCTGATCAGTGTGTTGAATCATCAACTTCCACACTTTCGACTATTGTCCAGGAAAGCATGCGACTCTTTATACCAAAGAGGGTGTCTCATAAAAGTGACTATCCCATATGGTTCTCGAAGGAACTAAGACATTGCTTAAGGCGCAAGCTACACTATCATCGCCTGTACAAAAAAACTGGCAATGTCGTTTGGTACACGAGATTTAGTCAATGTCGTGCAGAGGCGAAACAATTGTTTAAGCGAGATAAACAACAACATGCTGACATCGCCGAGCAATCATTGAGCACACAGCCACAGTGTATGTGGAAGTTTGTCAAAGAGAGCATCAAAGAGAATGTTACCACGATCACATTGCGAGATAATGAGGATTGCGTCTCTGACCCTGTTGATGTAGCTAATCTTTTTGCGCGCCACTTTAGTGCTTCTTTCAGTACAAATAATGGCCTAATGCCTAGCTCGAATATAAACTGCCTGGATTTTTTGACTGTTGCTCCAATTAATGAATCTGAAGTCTTGGAGGCAATTAAAAAATTGAAACCAAAGTTATCTACGGGAATAGATGGAATTCCCAGCTTCATAGTAAAAGGTTGTGCTCCACTCCTTTGTCCAGTTTTGGTTCATATCTTTAACTTATCACTTGCATCTGAAACATTTCCTACCGCTTGGAAGCGCTCTGTTGTTGTTCCATTACATAAATCGGGAGATCGATCCATGGTTAACAACTATAGGCCAGTCTCCCTCCTTTGTAGTTTTTCTAAAGTTTATGAAATTGTTTTGCACACCCGCCTTTACGCATATTTTTGTCGGAAAATTATTCCTGAGCAACATGGTTTCATGAAAGGCCGCTCCACAGAAACAAACCTGTGTTCCTTCCTACATCAGATTGTACCATCTGTCCATAGCGGAGGACAAGCGGATGTAGTCTACTTTGATATGAGCAAAGCTTTTGACAAAGTTAATCACCGATTACTGTTGAGTAAACTCTGTAGTTACGGTCTGTCCCTTAAGTACTGTCGTCTCCTCGATAGTTACTTATCTCATCGGCTTAACTTTGTGCGAGTATCCGGCCGATTATCTGCTCCTTTTTTATCTACTTCTGGGGTTCCTCAAGGCAGTAACCTCGGTCCTCTGCTGTTTTTGGTTTTTGTAAATGATCTAACTTCCTGCATCAAACACACGCGGTTTTTGTTATTTGCTGATGATATTAAGTTGTTTACAGCGGTTAAAACGGTTGACGATTGTAAATGTCTTCAGCGCGATATAGATTCTATTTCGGCGTGGTGTTTTTCAAATGACCTACTCTTAAATGAGTCAAAGACGAAAGTTATGTCCTTTTCTAGGAAGCGTGAAATTCTGAGTTTTCCCTATGTATTAGATTCCACCAATATTACTCGCGTTGAGGTCATTCGTGATCTAGGCGTTTTTATGGATCCTGCAATTAATTTCAACCATCACGTGACCACAATTACGAATGCTTCCTTTCGAGTGCTGGGAGCCATTACACGAGTGACACGCGATTTTTCTAAACCACTTTGTATTTTACGTTTGTTCTCTTCACTGGTGCGTAGTCGTGTTGAATATGCCTCAGTTGTCTGGAACTGTATTGGAGTGACAAATTCAGGTTTAATTGAGAGTGTTCAACGTAGGTTTGTTCGTGTTTTGTTTGATCGTTATTTTCAACCGAATTATTTCTATAGTTATGAGAGGATTTGTGAACTCGTGAAGTTAGACTCGTTGCACAACAGGAGAACAATTCGTGAACTGACATACTTGTATAAGATTGTAAATGGTATAATTGACTCCCCAGAGCTACTCAGCCACATCTATTTGCACGTTCCTCGTCAGTCTTGTAGACTTTATACTTTGTTTTATCCTATAGACTTTTATCATGCTGCACCCATAACACGCCTACAATTGACTTATAACCATTTAGAACAGATTTGTGCGAATGCTAGCCTTGATATATTTGATGAAAAGCGTAAATTTCGACAGTGTGTTGAGGCTATTGTTCTTTCCTAACGTTTCGCTTTTATCCTGTTTAGCGTTGTATTTCTGAAGGAATAAGTGCACCACTAAGGAGGCGTCAAGCTGTTGGTGGGTCACTGAAAATAAGAATAAACATAACTCATAATATTATTCTGAAATACTTTACAAAGTTGGAGTCGGCTTCTACAGCTTGCTCATCAAAGTTGACTACGTTAAACATTGATGACAAAGGAATATATGCAAGAGCAGCTTACTCCCATGTTGAGCTTGCTTGTAATCTTGACTGTATCTGGCTTGCAATCTTTTCATAAGATGGTGACTATGGCTCCAACCAGGAGTCTTCATGTTCATTAGCCTCAAGTTGTCACAAGTCCTTCTTGGTGTGCTTTTTTTATTTTTACTTTTAAACTTCAGCACCCACCCATCTATCTGGAAGACAGCCACAATTACTCTCATTCCCAAACCTGACAAACCTCACAGCATCGACAACCTTCGACCCATATCCCTCACATCTTGCGCTGACAAGCTCGTGGAGCATATCATCGTTAAAACGCTTGCACTCACACCTAGAATTGCATCAACCACACATTAATCAGAGCACATCTCCACACAAGACACCTTTCTCTATTTCAAAGAGGAAATCGCCGATCAACCCAGTATGGCCCAACTCAGGGCCATGCTGGCTATATATGTAAAAAAAGGCCTTTGACTATGTCGACCTCGACAGTATCCTTAATTAAGGAGTTCCACAAGACCAACTGTGGCTCCTGGCTATACAACTATGTGTGTTGCTTTCCACAAGGCCGCGCATACTCTTTCGACATGGGAGGCACCAGCTCCTCCACATGTACCCAACCACAACGGTGCATTCCCCAGGATTCGGTACTATCTCCCATGTTCAATTTGGCCAAGTGTACTATCGACCGAGCCTCGGCAGATGTACTGGACATCAGATATACCATCTACACTAATGACATCATGGTCTGAATGACTACGGGTTCGGTAGGGCACATACAAGACATTCTACAACTCACCATCAACCAAGTGCATCAGGCGGCCCAGAGAATTGGCCTTCGGTGCTCCCCAGAAAAGTCTGGATCACTAATCGTTCATGATTCAAGAGGCAGCCTCCTTCAATCCTCATCACACAAAATGGTGTCGACATCCCTCAACCCCCTACCATCTGCCTACGTGGATTCCACATTCAAAAAGATGGTAGAGCCTTAAGCACCACCTATTATATCCTCAAACAAGGTGACTAGGTCCTCCACGTGTTAAGGAGAGTGTGAATTCACTTTAATGAACTTAAAAGGGGTGGACATGCTGTGTCTCTGTGACGCCCTACTTCTTTCACGCCTCCACTATCATCTCCTATTCGTAGCCCACACACTACAGCAGAAGTACAAACTTGATACCCTCCTTCGGAGGGGTACCCTCTCAGCACGAGCACCCATCTTTTTGAGGCAATAGGCTGCCATTATACGATAGACGAACTCATTGCCGTTCACGAAAGACGCCAAGGGATCCGCCTGTCCCTCACGCAACAGGGTCGTCACATTCTGAGGCGCCTCCATCACCTCATACCCAATCATCCCCACGCGCTCCCCCTCTCACCACCCATCAGGAACCATCTATGCAGAGCCGTACATGGGGAAAGTTTGGCCAGTCTATGATCTTACCACCATAATGCCCCCCTCCTGAGTGAGCCTATCGGCCCTTGGCACAGAGTGAGAGGCGTGAGCGCATGCGCATGAATTCCCAGTTGCTCCTTGCTGAGTGGGGAGGGCCGCCATTTTCATTCATTCACCCGGCGGAATGCATGGGATCGACATCCAAATTTCGGTTCTTTCCTTTCATTTGGCAGGCTCTGGCAAGAAAATGATATAGTGTTATTCCTCGGTGGCTTAAAAAGCTTACGAATTAAGTTTCTCCACGTGTGAACACAAACTTTGATTCAGGCGACAAAGAAATAAGCCGAAGCAGACAACGCGTAGCCTCAACAGTGCTCTGCACCGACAATGTTGCGTCAAAATGGCGGTCGTCTCCTCTTTTGCTTCCTTCTTTCTCTCTCGCTCCTTTGGCACTTTCCTCTCTTTCCTTCACTTTTTTCCTCTCCAGCGCCTTCGTTGCCACAGCCACTGGCTAGACTCTTCCAATATATGGCTCTGCCCCTATGTATTGCACCATTGCCTCGACGCATGCAAAAAGTGGCCAAACCAGCCTGCCCAACGTTTAAACAAAGCTTGTCATGTGTGACCCCATTAATCCAACTTTTCTGATTCCAGGCTGAATAATCCAACCTAACATCAAAAGCTACCCAAACATCCTATTGCTATTTAACTCTATTGACACTACTACGTCCCATGCACTCTAGAACAAAGACGGAGAAAGACTTAATTTCGCGGCAGCTCCACAACACACGTCAGCTGTCGCCACACATTATTTCTCGTTAACAATGTTGCCACTTGCACCCCTTTTGGTTGGGGGTTGAATAATGTAGCCACGGAAGAATGATGAAACTCGCTTTATCTGGTTTTCAGTTTTGTCAGACGTCTCCAGTGATATACAGAGGTTTAGGAGTGGCTTCAGCATGGCTTGCGAGAAGAATAGTTGGGTGTTGTTTCTGCCATTGCATACTGATTTCGTGAGCGTCGGTCATTGCAGGTGCTAGTCCTGCCGGCAGGGTAGAGCCTGCTGCAGCCATTTCTTACTTGAGAGTCAAGAGGCGAATAAAAGCTTGATTCAGGGAATGCAAATGGCCAACAGCTGCACAGTATTGTGTTGTCATGCTCCCTTCTAATAAGAAACTTGAAAGTGGCACAAGGTTAGCGAAGTGCACATTTTAATTTTTAAAATGGGGTGTCTTCTGAACAGAGCCAGTGGACACAGATTCGGACAACGAAGGCAAGAGCACCACCTGCAAAGACAGCAACAGCCAGCCCAGCTCCCAAGACCGATTGGACAAAGTGCAAACGAGAGACAGCCAAAACTCTGAGGTCGTCCACCGGTGCCGCTTCTGTTCTCACATATTCCATTCCGAAATCAGCGTCACGACTCACGAAAAAATGCATCAGGGAGGACCACCCTTTTACTGCCATTTCTGCCATAAGGAATTTAAGTCTAAGAGCAGTCTAAATGTCCACAAAAGGGTACACACGGGTGAAAAGCCTTTCAGTTGTCTCGTGTGCAACAAGGCCTTTGCAGAGGCATCTCATTTGACCATCCACAAGCGAAGCCACAACGGGGAAAGGCCCCACAAGTGTGACTTGTGTGGCAAGGGATTCATCACTGGCACTAGCCTGAAGATTCATCACAGGACCCACACGGGAGAGAAGCCCTTTGAGTGTAGTACCTGCCACAAGAGGTTCACACAGAGGAGCCAGTGCGTGGTTCACGAAAGAACGCACACAGGGGAAAAATTGTTTAAGTGTGACACGTGCGGGAAGGCGTTTACCGAGAAACACACCCTGGTAGGGCACATGCGGATTCACACTGGTGAGAAGCCCTTCAAGTGTGGCGTCTGTGGAAATGCGTTTAGGACGAGCAGTCACCTGTCAACTCATAGGAGCAGACACAGAAAGTAGGCCCTGCTGATGCCACACACACGCTGTTGAGAGCATACAAGAAGCAATTCAGGGCAGAAAAGAAATTGAGAGAAAAGCATTAGGGTGGGCTATCACTCTTAGATACAGTGGAATTTCTCTAAATGTAACCTTAAGGAACCACGGAAATCTTTCATTTATTAAAAGTCTCATTTACTGCAAAATGGGTGTATGATGCCATAGAAATGCTAAATGCTGTCATGGATCTTGTACACAATAAGTACAGTGCAGAAAAGTTTCACAATAGAAATTTTGTGAAATCGGCTAGTTCAGATGTCGAATTTGACGTGCGACAACTGTAATGTATCGACTCACGAGAAATTTGTTAAACCTTATTGATTGCTTTATTGATATCGCTGGATAAACTTCGTTTGATTTCGCTCAGTTGGTTTACTAGGCCTGGTAAATTGAGAAAAGACCTTCAACATCAAAGAACAGGCGTATAATCTCAATGTATTTCGTAAGTTTTTGCACCGCCAAAAGATCAGTCACCGCTTGTCACTCACCGCCATGTCCGTTTTATTCTTCAGCTTTTGCTCGTATACGATGGCGGACAAAAATCAGACTTTTGTACAACCTCGCACCGCCTCGGAGGTCAGACGTCACAGTGATGTCAAGCGACTGCTGTCAGTGTCCGCATTTCTTATTTGGGTGATTGAGAGGTCTGGGTGAGGTGGCAGAAAAATCTCGCTCCAAGAGCGAGGAGCACACGCATCCTTTTCTGGATACACACGTCCTTACCCGTCCTGTTCAAAAGGCTCATCTGTTTTTCAAGGCCTAGTTTTGCGACACTAGGCTCGTCAACAAAAAAAGATGCACCGTGTGAATAGACCTTGAGTGCCAGCTAGGTAGTGAACGTAGTGAATATAGTTGACAAAACACATGAAATAGTGACAAAAACCCTGAGATATGCAAATATCAGTTTTTCCTGTCTTTTGCATTCTTTCGTGTGATTTTTGCCCTGTTGTATAGACCCTCTTATTGTTTACAAACGCCCCATTTGGGGCAAGCCTTCCGAGCCTGTTAATGTAAAAATTTTTGGGATGATAAAGTTCTACAGAACTCACGAAGTTGGGGTTCTTGCAAGGCCCTTCTGCTGCGCTATAAAAAAAATAAGAGGGAATCGGTCATCATACAGGAGTTAAATTATCTCCAACAAATCTTACGAACCGGTCCTTTTGGTGACCGCCTGGTGAACCGCGCCTCCTTGCCCTTTCAATAAAAGGGACTATAGAATGCTAGTAAATTCAGTGACACTGGGTTGTGCTAGAATTCATAAGAAAGGTGTTGGGAATGTATTTTTGTAGAAATGGGATGGGGTTCTGCCTTCAAAGTCTTGAGCTGACCCTAAACCCTTCAAGCTCAAATAGCGATGTTGTTAGCACATGTATTTTGTTTGTGCATTAATTTTTTTGGGGTGCTCCTGCTGTAATAAAGTGGTGATTGTCAGACAGGTGCTTCTTTTTAGCATTGATCTTTCCTCTAAAAGAGGTCACTAACACTCTAAAAGAAATTATATTTGTTCACTCAAAGCACTAGGGGAATGGTTCCAAGACACTGCAAGGATCTTTTTTGGTGGCAGAGTTGCGTTACGTCTATTCGCTGAGGCACTGGCTTTATAGGCCAACGCACTGTTAACGAACAAGCCCTAGCGAGGTGCGGCCAAACGCATAGTTTTCGCATGAGGTGTTGGCACTGTGCATGCGCACGAACAGCGTCAAGTGTAGAGTCTATCATGCACCCTGCCAAAAGCAGCGCCATTGCAGTGGCATGACGTCAGCACCGCGTGTTGGTGTATAGGGTAATGCCTGTCGGATGCCACTCTTGCCCTGCCAAGCCAGGCAGGGCTGGCCGGCTCTTTGCTGCAACACCAGGTGGCGCAAGCATCCTATATCCCAGCTAACGGAGCACGCAAAGCTGCCCGCATAGCTTTTCATGCTCTTCAGTGGGGTGTCTTTGAAATAAAATATTGCATGCAAGTAAACTTTAGGTGTCAATCGGGAATACAGTTTACACTGTACGCGAGGGATGCGAAAATGACAAGGGAGCAATCAAGACACCGCACCGACGCAGTGGCTTGATTTCATTGCTGCAGTTACTTGAATAAAATTGTTTACGAACGCAGACGAAGTTCCAAGAGGTGGTTATTCCATTCAGAATACTAGTTGAGTTTTATGAACTTCCTAGAGAAAGGTTTTGCACCATACAGTTTTGCCACAGGATTCTTGTCCCTGAAGTCAGTTGCATAGTTTCCGAGCAGGGGCTTCAGTAACTTTGTGCAGAAATAGGTGGCGCTAGAGTATTCTCGTCGTTAGAGAGTCTGTATTACAGAGAGTTTCCAACCACTCAATTCGCATTGCATGGTTGATGGGCCGCATTTGCAATATGAGCTGCAAGAAAATGCCGAAAGCGTTGATCGTCTGCAAATGTCTCCGCCTTTCCTCCTGCTTTCCTCGGCCTCACCACGCGACAACGCAGCCCGTGCGCACTTGAGACCAATGTCCGCAGGAGGCGTCTGCCATTAAATTGCAGATGCTCCCCACGGTTTGAGTTGAACCCTCTCATACAATCTAGGCTCTCTACTCGTCATCAGAGATTTTAAAAGCTTTCAAGGCATGCGGCTCTAAGAAGCCGCAAGTGTGTGAATGGGCCTTTAGGGTAGTGATGAGCTCGGGTGTTTGCAAAATGCAAACATCGCTAGGGCATCGTGCTTGCGATTATAACTCTGGTTTTACCTGTGGCGAAATAGGGTATAGGGTAGTGATGCTAAACTATAGAAAAAATTACTATCGACAGTGTTGCAGAACTATCGATAGTTTTTTTACTATCAATAGTCAGATTTGTTGCGATTATCGATAGCCTTGCACCACTAGAGCGAACACAGTTGCCGCACTGCCGCTCGCCTCCCTTTCTTCTCCACCCAAACTCCCGTCTTCGTCATCACTGAAAGCTGAACCAAAGTTGGGATGGTAAGTGCTTGGGCTAGTTGGTGTACCATTTGAAAAAATAAAGCGAGCGAAAGAAGAGGGAGCGACGCAAACTGCTAGCAGTGTCGCAAAACTATCAATAATAAACCGTCGACAGTACTATCAATAGGTTGACGATAGTCAACTATTGATAGTTTTCTGATAGTCGATTAACGATAATTTTCTGATAGTCGACTATCAATAGTACTATCCATAGCTTTTCGATAGTCGACTATCGATAGTTTTTTTATAGTTGACTATCAATAGATTTTCCTTTAGTTTTTCGATTGTTGACTATCAATAGTCTTTCGATAGTTGACTATCAATAGTTTTTTTACTATCAATAGTCAGATTTCTGGCGACTATCGATAGTTTTACACCACTAGTATAGAGAGTATTCACTGGTGGCCTTAGCTGTGTGCGCGGCTGCCAGGCGTGTGCTGACAGCGAACTTTCAGTTCTTTTGCAGCGTGCATTCCGCTCTATCAAGACTGCCGGTCTTAACAGCGTAATATTGTGAGCTCGTTCAGAGCATGCTTTCTAAACATCGCCTTAAAATATGGCATACAGTGAATACCCCCTATAGCATAAAGTCTTAACAGTGCTTTACACCACGAGCGTGGGTGCAAGCAGGACCGCTTTAAGCGTTTCACACTCGTAGCTTTTTCGCTAGTACTCATTATTAAATGAAGCAGCTAGTTAATGTGCATTATGCAACAATGATTACTCAACCACGTTCAAGTGCGGTTGAGTGCAGGTGCAGGTCGGTATGAACGGTGCCAGGGATTGAGCTTAGGATCTCTGGGCTCTGCAGCGTGCACCTCCGCTCCACCTCTTCTACTAGCAGCTGGCCAACACACCCTCTCGCAGTCCTCCTTCATGAAGTAATATAGAACTAGTAATATTAATCCTTGCTTAAATATTTTCCGTGTGACACCCAAGCCCGTACCCAAGCCCACGCTGGAGGGCAACGTCCTTTGGTGTTGGCATGTGGTAATGCTCTCTCTCGACTGCTTTGTTGGGTGAAAGGGCCCAAGCATATTCTTAACAGTCGGACCTCTTAATGGTCGCCAGCAATTGTAGTCACAGACGACCCTGCACCCAGCTCCTACCTAGCAGCAAACAAAGATGGACAGTAGCTTCGTCACAACAGAGAGCATATCCGGTCCTGCAACAGCAGCAGCAACAATGCCGCAGCCTACAGGACCCCAACCTGTGCCACTAAGGAGAAGCTCAAGACTGCCTCAGGCTATGTCGCTACATGGTGTGTGACAAGACTTAGTTCCAGACTTGCTTTTTTTTTTTTTTATTAAAAAAAGGGAGATTTGGCTAGCGGCATCGTCTTATGAATGATGATGATGATGATGTGGCTTTTCTTTTTGTAGCGGGCAAGCTCAAAAGTTGTGCCCTAGCCAAAAAGCGCCAAAAAACTAAGATGATTATCTTCTACTGTCTAGAATCTTTCGCCGCCAGTGTTCCAGTGTCTCACTTTTGCTGACTACACATACTGCACGTACGACCCGTTAGCCTTCCTCTTCGTTGTTGGGGTGGCTGTGCTGGTCGTGCAGGTGTTCGCACTGACTCCGTCTGTTGTCGTGATCGTTAAACCCAGGGCGTTTGGTAGCAGTTTTTCGGGTTGATGCTGATACAGGTTTATCGGACGTGGCAGCATTTTTTGTGCTGCCATGTCCGATGTGGCGGCATGAATTGCCAACACAAGCAGCGCCGCCTGCCCTTTTTTGTTGCAATCAAAGGTGCAAGTTGCCGAGCATTCGTTTTGTGCTGCTGCGCAGGAGCCGGGGCGAGCTTTCAAAGCATTCATTTCACACCACGAAGCTGTTTTCATTAGATGGAAACACATATACAGCATAAAGAGTAAGCCCCTGCCTTCCTTTATGTCGCTTTTTTATTGCTACGTGTAGAGCCTTTCATTTTGAAAAACACTGAAGACCAAAAATGTGCATTCAATAACTGAAAAAAAAATTATATTTTGGCTTAATATTTGCATTACTATTTCAGCGATGTTAGTTGATGGGTTTAACCACGGCCTCTTCTATAGACGCTTTACACACGTGCCAAATTACAGGCGCCATTGCTGACCTTCTCTTGTCTTACCGAGATGCCGAGCAACTGAAACGGTAGTTGACGATACTCTACAAAGGCCGATGCTTTAGAAAAGGACACAGTTGAATCTAATACGGCAATAACCTGGCCTGCTATGGTAATGATGTAGTGAAATAAACGAAAAAGGAGGAAACAAAAACTGAAGGTCAGTTATGGCGGCGTCCATGCACAGCTGCTGCAAAGCGTCTATACTGACAAAGCCTGACTGATTGCCACGAGACGCGGCCACTGGAAGTGAAAAGGTAGAGCGGCAGACAAGAGGCATGTAACGGATGCCCCGCTGCGGTGAGACGCCGAAGCACACTTGTCCCGAGCAATGGAGTGTCCGCTCGTGCTTCTCGCATTTCTCGAACTACCACTTCTTTTCTCATCGGGTTTGAAAACCATGCTTCGGGTCCTCGCTGCTGCAAAAGCTGTGTGCTGACTACAGGCTCCCCGAGAAATGCTCTGTGCTACCAGATTCTCGTGCTCCAAATCTGTGACCAGGGCCACTCTATGGCTCCGTCATTGAACTGCCAGGCTTTGTGAGTATAGAGGGGGCTATCGTTTAACGAATTCTCATTAATGGTAGTGGCTGAGGTCCCTGGATCCTGGGAAATTAGTGCCGTTGCCTCCCCTGCCTGCTAGCCGGACACAAACAAATACAAACATACAGAGAACAAAACTCATGGTGATTGGCTGATCAGTCTCAGTTGCCATGGCGAACGCCATTTTGGGCCTTTTAAATCTTCAAAGCTTCGAAAGGGCCATTCCAACCAGTCGCATCAAGATGGCTATGGAGCATCATGGTACTGAAAGGGTTCCTCGGCTAAAATAAACGTCTTTGGCACTGTGCATGCAACAAAACCTATCACCCATGCTTATCTCCCGAGATCTCTTACAGTTATGTTGCTTTTCTTGCCTCCAATGCCTCCAAGCGCCTCATGGGACGGTGTACATCTTCGTACCGTCATCACATGCAACATCAGTGCTTGAAGGCATTGAAAAATAATTTTACTTACTTGAAATATGCAAGAATAGCAACATAATTGTAAGAGATCTGGAGAGATAAGCATGAGTGATAAGTTTATTGCATGCACACTGCTAAGGACGTCCAACTCATGTTTACAAACAAACCGGAGCACCCCTAACGGACGCCACCGGCACCGCACATGCGCGATGAAGTGTGGGCAAGAAGCTCGCCGCCGCCCATAAACAAACCATTAAAATCAAATGTTGTCGGCGTCAGTGTGAGTCCCCCTGCACTCTTTCGCGTTCGAATTGTTGCTTCCTGGCAATGTCGGACTACTTGAGAGGCCTCGGCGAAATTACCGAGGCTCGTTACACCGCAAAACTTCGCGTGAATAATGTGACATGCAGTGAC